GATTTATAAGCACAGTTCTGAGAAGACAAATATTGAAAACAGCATGAGTGGGAAAAAACTTAAGTATCTTAGTGGTCAATTAACTCAGTATGAATGTATAGTAAGATATGGCCACCAAAAGAAAAAAGAATGTAATTTGAGTTACATTAATAGAATTAATAGAAGGTGATAGTGCTGGTCTACTCTGCATGAGTCAGACCAGGCCTGGAGTATATCGTTCAATTCCTGGGACCATCCTTATAGAAAGGGTATAGACAAAGCAAAGCGTTTAAACATGGGAGCAGCCAAAATGGTGATTTGACTAAAAACCATGTCAAACAAAGCGAGTATGTTTAGCTGAGAGAAAAAAAAACTTACAGTCTCAATAATATTTCAGTTGTTTAGAAAGCAAAAAAATAGTTGACTGGTTCTTTTTGTTCTGAAGAGGACAATCTATAATCAGGAAGTAGAAGTTTCCAGCTGGATGTAAGGAAGAACTGATCAACAGTGAGGGCTGTCTGCAGATGGGCCGATGGCCCGAGGAAATAACATTATCCTAAGAAAACTGCTTGTCAGAAGGCTCTAGCAGGGATTCGATATGGGCTGCCTGGATGCTCCAGATGAGTGTTATTCAAAGAATCTTGTTTTTCTTTTTTCCCCCTTATGTGTTTGTTTTTATTATTTCCCCCAGCTTGTTATTTTGCTTTGCTTTGTAAATTTAGATAAAATTAACACTCTTAAATATAATTGATTTTTAGTATATTCACAAGATCATTTACCTGTCACCATTTATCTACTTCCAGAATATCTTTTTAATCACTCCAAAAGGAAACCCCATACCCATTAGAAGTCACTCTTCATTCCTCCTTGCCCCAGTTCTGGGCAGCCATTGACCTACCTTCTGTTGCCTCTTCTGGACATTTCTTATCAGTGGGCTCATACAATATGTGTCTTCTTTGGTCTGACTTCTTTTGATTATCATGTTTTCAGGATTTATCCATGTTGTAGTATCATCAGTACTTTATTAATTTTCATGGCTGTATAAGATTCTCTTGTATGGATATACCACATTTTGCTTATCTTGATGGATATTTGGGTTACTTCCACTTTTTGGTTATTATGACTAATGTTGCTATGGACGTTTGTGTACAGGTTTTTGTGAACATAATGCTTCATTTCTCTTGGATATATACATAGGGTTTAAATTGCTAGGTCATGTAGCAAGTCTACTTTTTTTTTTTAATCCTCCCCTGAGGACATGCTTGTTTATCTTACAGAGAGGAGAAAGAGAGAGGGAGAGAAACATCTATCAGTTGCCTTTTGCATGTGCCGTGACCAGGAATTGAACCCATGATCTTTTGGTTTATGAGTTGGTGCTCCAACCAGCTGAGCCACACTGGCCAGGGCAGCAACTCTACTTTTTGAGAAAATGTCAAACTGTTTTACAATCTTCATGTCCTTGTTGACTTTTTTATTATATCCATTCTAGTAGTTGTGAAGTCATATGTCATTATGGTTTTTATTTGCATTTTCCTAATGATTAATGGTGTTCAGCATTCAATATCATGAAGATTTGCATATATGTTTCCTTTGAGAAGGTTTTAGGTCTTTGGTAAATTTTGAGTTTATTTTTGTATATGTTGTGAGATAGGGCTCTAGCATCATTCCTTTGCATGCTGATATCCAGTTGTCCTAGCACCATTTTTTTAATATATATTTTACTGATTATGCTATTACAGTTGTCCCATTTCTTCTCCTCTTTATTCTTCTCCGCCCTGCACCTCCACTCCCACAGGAATTCCCCGTGCCTTAGTTCATATCCATGGGTGTACATATAAGTTCTTTGGCTTCTCCATTTCCTATACTATTCTTAACCTCTCTCTGTCTATTTTGTACCTACCATTTATGCTTCTTATTCCCTGTACCTTCTCTGCCATTCTCCCCACTCTTCTTCCCCTCTGATCTCCATTTCTGTGATTCTGTTCCTATTCTAATTGTTTGCTTAGTTTCGTTTTTGTTTTTTAGGTTCAGGTGTTGATAGTTATGAGTTTGTTGTCATTTTATTGTTCATAGTTTTTGATCTTCTATTTCTTAGATAAGTCCCTTTAACATTTCTTATAACAAGGGCTTGGTGAAGATGAACTCCTTCAACTTTACCTTATCTGGGAAGCGCTTTATCTGCCCTTCCATTATAAATGATAGCTTTGGATGTAGGTCCTTCCCTGCATCCAACAATTTGGATACTTCTTTTATGATTTTGAATACTTCTTGCCAGCCCCTTCTTGCCTGCAAGCTTTCTTTTGAGAAATCAGCTGATAGTCTTATGGAAAGTCCTTTGTAGGTAACTCTCCTTTTCTCTTGCTGCTTTTAAGATTCTCTCCTTACCTTTAATCTTATCTCCTTATCTTTAATCTCCTTATCTTTTGATGTCCCTTGGTGTGTGCTTCCTTGGGTCCAACTTTTTTGGGACTCTCTGAGCTTCCTGGATCTCCTGGAAGTCTGTTTCCTTCTCCAGACTGGGGAGTGCTCCTGCATTATTTTTTCAAATAAGTTTTCAATTTCTTGCTCTTCCTCTTCTCCTTCTGACACCCCTATGATTTGGATGTTGGGACATTTAAAGTTGTCCCAGAGGTTCCTAAGCCTCTCCTCATTTCTTTGAATTCCTATTTCTTCATTCTGCTCTGGTCAAATGTTTATCTCTTCCTTCTGCTCCCAATAGTTGATTCGAGTCCTGGTTTCCTTCCCTTCACTGTTGGTTTCCTGTCTATTTTTCTTCATTTCACTTTGCATAGCCTTCCTTTTTTTCCTCCATTTTGCAACCATACTCAACCATTTCTGTGAACATCCTGATTACCAGTGTTTTGACCTGTGCATCTGATAGGGTGGCTATCCGTTCATCGCTTAGTTCTATTTTTGGAGCTCTGATCTGTTCTTTCATTTGGGCCATATTTCTTTGTCTCAGCACACATGTTATGTTGGAAGGGGCAGAGCCTTAGGTATTCATCAGGGTAAGTCAACCCAGGTCGCTGAGTTGTGATGCTGTAGGAGGGGGAGGGGTCATAGAGGGAACAGTGCTTCTTGCTTGGCTCTCCACTGGCTTTCAGTCACTTATCCCACTCCCCAAAAGCAAATTGGGCCCTTCTAGTGCTGATTCCCAGGTGAGTAGGTTTGTGTATGTTCTAGGATCCTCCAACGAACTCTCCTGCGAGGCTGTGAGTTTCTCCCACTGCCGCATCCTCTACAGGCTTTTACAGCGAGAGGTTTTGAGTCTTTCTTTCCCCGCACTGGAACCCTGGATTGTGTAGTCTGTCTCGCTCCCCAGCAGTTCCTCCTGGTTTATCTGCACGCAAATGTGGGACTGCCTGGTCCTCCGCCACTGCCTTGCTGCATGTCCTCTCCACCCTGGCTGCCCGTCTCCGCCCCTCCTGCCAGTTTGGATGAATGTTTCTTCTTTAGCTCCTTGGTTGTTGGACTTCCATACAGTTTGATTTTCTGGCAGTTCTGGTAATTTTTTGTTTTTAAATATGTTGTCCTTCTTTTGGTTGTGTGAGGAGGCAAAGTGTATCTACCTATGCCTCCATCTTGGCCAGAAGTAGAAATGCCTTTCTGAAACCAGTCCCTGTAACAGTACTCTGAATCCCTACTTCTTCTACCTCTGGAGCTTTGCTCCATCAATTATTGCAACCTTAAAGCTGTCTTCTCCTGGCTCCTTCCTCCTCCATTGCTCCATTCTCTCCCATCATAAAAATTCTTTTCCTCAATACTGCTCTGTTGAGCACAAAATGTTCTGAAAGAATAACCTATAGTCACTGGCTCTACGTATTCAATTCCCATTCTCTGCACATCCAGTTCCATTCTCACCTCCATTCCATTCTTTCTCTGAAACTGTTCCTGCATAGACCTTCAGTGTCTTCCCCATTCCAGGTCACATTTCCACCATTGGTCTACCTTCCAAAGCAATAGTCATTCTTAATCTTTCACTCAGAGGAAAGTTCTAATGAGTTCTAACTTTGATACTCAGGGCTTAGTTGTGTTCATTTGATATTATGAGATGACTTCTTGTTTTGGTATATGATTTCAGATTAAAAGAGACTTTATTACTTCAAACAGTGAAATATTAGTGTGGTGATAATTACCATTCTGTGGTCTAAACTGCCAAATTTGTATGGTAATTCTTACGGAACACCTATTTTCCACACTCCCCCTCCTACTTTTTATTAATACAAAATTCAATAATTTATTAAACTAGTTAATACCTTGTACAAAAATCCTAATCCCAGGTAGCTCACTTTTTGCTCACTTATGACTTTGGATTTTGAACATCATCATTACACAGATTGCCTCTATGGTAATAACTATACCATGGTGAGCAGCAATTTCTAGTGCCTCACTGGGTCCTGACACAAAATTAATTCCACAGGCAGCCCTGAGAGATCATACACAGTTCCAACCAGAGAGCTTGAAACATGACCCTTCTTCTTTATATCTCAGCTGGTTGGCTTGGAAGTCTTAATTACAAGCAAAATGCATTTGTAGTCCCTTCAAAATTTGTAGAGCAGTTATTCTTTTCATGTAGTTCCTAAAAGGAGAAAAACAGTATGAACAGTTTAAAATCAATTCAAATTCACTGGTGTCCCTATAACCAGGAAAAAAATGTCAGTTTGACTTTTCGCAATTAAAAATTTACGTATTTAAATAGTTCATCCTTTTTCTCTCCTCTTAGCCTTTTTGCCATGTTTTTGGAGATGTGGGTCTTTGTTTCTGTTTTCATGGGTTACTAATGCAGTGAGCAAGTAGTCACCCTGTGTCCATTTAGTTCTAGAATTTAGTTCAGGTGAGTGCTCTGTTTTAGTATGATGTTAGAATTGCCATTGAAGATCTGGCCATGAATCTTAGAAACCACTGGAAGTCTGCTCTTGACCCTGCTCCTTAGTCTCAGTGTATTTAAGTTATCTGTGCTAATGAAACTGACTGGCTCATTGTGTCTCTGTTAATGATAATATCTCAACTCTTCTTTCCAGAGGGACTTGTCAGGACACAAGAACATTGTGGGTTACATTGATTCTAGTATCAACAATGTGAGTAGCGGTGATGTATGGGAAGTGCTCATTCTCATGGACTTCTGTAGGGGTGAGTATATGAACCATACTTTAAGCTCTCCTTTCATTAGCATTTTTATTGTCAAAGACATGGTGGTGGTTTCAGTTATCGCACTGTATCCTAATGTATATTGTTCTGGTTTTAAAGACTGGAAAACTAAAAAGCTAAAAGACATATAGATTGCTGTCACTTCTTGGTTATTCTGATTATGGCAAGGATCAGTGGCACAAACAGTTCAAAGTGGTGGATAATACAAAATTTCATTTTTATTAAGTTTAGGAAGGTTTGGTGCTTGTGTATGAATTGGAATGAGTCAGAATGGGAATGCATGTATTGTGATACTTTAAAACAAATGATGAAGGCTCATAATAAAGACCCAACTCCAGGGGGACTAACGAAACACTTAAGCTTCTCCACTCCCTCACTCATGTGTTCTGTTCTCTGTCCTGTAATGGGATAGAAGAATCCTTTTCATCTAATGGAAGTGACTGTCCTCCCCTTGCTTGAGAGCTGTAATTGCCGGTAAGGCTGCCTTCAAAACCTGCTGCTCTTAACAGTGGAATTAACTAGTTGAAAGCATGGAGTTTCAAGCAATACTTATTTTAGGAAATCCAGACTGCATTTCATACAATCATTGTTTTAAGGTTCGACGTTTTTTTGGCCTAAGCAACTGCCACGTACAAGCTTGGAACATTGTTTCACTATTTTGTAGTCACCTACTTTCACTAACATTTTCCTTGCCTTAAGATACTGTCCATAAACTAAATATGTTGCTAATCCCAAAATGATGGTAAACAATAATTTCAACCTTCACTATAAAACCTGTTAACCTGATTTTTAAAATATTATCAAATTTGAACTTGACAGTTTGTTTCCTTCTGCCCATTCCGTTTTGGACAGTAAAATGTTTAGAGATGAGGCAGTAGGAACATCTGGGGATCTGGCTAATTTCATGAATGAAACCATTAGTCTTTTGGTCCTGGAGATTGTGATAGGGTAGCATTTTTACAGACCTGGCAGCAAGTAATAAAGCCAGGGAGGCCAGGCTGTTCCTAAAGTACAGACTATAAAACTGTCTTCTTCCTTCTCTTGAGGTCCGTTGTGCAGTTGAATTCTTAGTAAAAGATATGGCAAGGTGAACCAGTGGCCTTATCCCAAACACAGCGGGGACAGTATAACCAGGCAACAAGAGCAGGACCATATTGTCAGTTCTAGTACTAATCTCGAAGACATAATGAGGGCATCTCTTGTCTGGTGTGCTTTATAAAATAAGGAAACTGTTTTGGACACATTAGAGGAAGCTCTGGATTGTAAGAAAAGAAATCCCTGGCTGGGAATTCAAGACATTTGGGTTTTAGTCCTGGCTTAACCAGTGATCAGCTCTGTTACCTTTGTCCAGGTTGCTGCTTAGTGAAGAGCCGTTCATTCTCTCGGGTAAGAGACAAATCTGAATGTTTATAACCTCTCCTTTGCTCTGTACCCCTCTTAGGAGGCCAGGTGGTCAACCTGATGAACCAGCGCCTGCAAACGGGTTTTACAGAGAATGAAGTGCTCCAGATATTTTGTGACACCTGTGAAGCTGTTGCCCGCCTCCATCAGTGCAAAACTCCTATTATTCACCGTGACCTGAAGGTAACAGACCACACTGTTTCACTGAGTGTTTATTCTTATAGAGTATTTTCTATCTGCCCCATTCCTGGGGCAGATACTAGGAGGATATGAGAGAGTTTAAGGCATGGTCCCAAATTCTCAGCTTGTGTTCTGCGTGGGAAGAGAAAGTACAAAGGAAGGAATGATATAACAGTACATTACAGGTATCAGTTTTATTACTTAAGTAGTTTTCAGAAATTCCTCATAATCATCAAATGCATGAACACATATTGTTTTTATTTTTCCCTACATTCTCCCAAATTCACTTTCCTGGGGTCATGAAAAGCAGTATCTAGTTTAAATAGTTTATAAACTATAGTTTTTAAAGTCTGTTTCCTATTTTGCCAAATCTATTAATGGATTACTTTTAAAATTTGTCCTACTAATTAACAACCCCTTGCACTGCACCTTTCATATTGTAGTCGCTTGACAGCGTTTACTGAATGCAATCGGCACTCAGTTAAGGTTCGCTAGCATTTACAGAGCACCAGCTGTGTGCCATGAATTCTACTAGACACTGTAGGTGCACTGTCTCTTTGGAGGGAAACATTCTTTTTTACACTTTCTAGCTGAGGAAACTCAGGAGCAGAAAAGTTATGTGCCTTGCCTGAGGTCATGTAACTAGAAAGGAGCAGTACCAGAATTTGACTCTTGCTCTTCTTATTCTAAATTGCAGTTTATTTTTATTATACCTGTGTTCTGAGAGATGTGCTTCATGGCTAATAACTTGCATCGGCATCCCCTAGTGTGCTTGTTAAATGTAGTTGCTGGGTTCCACATCGAATCTATTGGGCTGTAATTTTGGTGGTAGTGTCAGGGAGGCCCAGGAATTATAACTTAATAAGCACCCCAAGTGGTTGTTGTATATTCCAAAGTTTGAGGATCACAGCAATATACTGGCATTTTTGTTTGGGCTTTTTTTTTAAAGCTTTTTAAAAAATTGAGACATAATTCACAAACCATAGAATTTACTCTTTTGAAGTGTACAGTTCAGTGGCTTTTAGTATTTATATGGTTGTGCAACCATCTCCGCTATCTAATTTCAGAACATTCCACCCCCATCCGCCCCCCCGCCAGAGGAATCCTGTATCCATTAGCAATCACTCTTCCTTCCCTGGTTCTCTTACCCTGGGCAACCACTAATCTACTTTATATTGCTGGTTCTGGATATTACATGTAAATGGGCTCATACAGTGTATGATCTCTTGTGTCTGATTGCTTTCACATAGAATGTTTTCAAGGTTCATCTATGTTGTAGCATATATCAGTACTTCTTTTAATGACAGAATGTTCCATTGTGTAGATACACCACATTTTGTCTTCCATTCATCAGATGATGGACAGTTGAATTGTTTCCACTTTGCCATTATGTAAGAAGTTACTATGAACAATCATATGCTAGTATTTACATGGACATATGTTTTCAGTTCTCTTGGGTACATACCAAGGCATGGAGTTGCTGGGTCATGTGGTAACTATGGTTAACTTTTTGACAAATTACCAAATTGTTTTCCAAAGTGGCTGCACCATTTATATCCCCTCAGCAGTATGAGGATTCTAATTTCTCCTCATCCTTACCAATACTTGTTATTGTCCTTTTTAATTTTAGCCATTCATAGTGGACGTGAAGTGGTACATACATCCTGGCTTTTCTGTACTAAAGCAGTTAACTTTCAGGAAGATAGTTATTGATACATACCTCCATAAACCTTAGACATATTACTCCACTGTACCTCTGCCCACAGTCAGCCCTTTTGCTGAATAGAAAAAGGAGAATACATCTTAGTAAATATTGTGAGCCTGGCATAGTATGAGTACATAATTCTGTACAGATATAATATGGTTCCTACTCTTAAGATGTTGAGAGGGTATAAATAAAATATTTAGACCTGAAATAGAAATAGGTGAAATACAAAACTTTGTAGAACAAAGTGATAAATGGAATCAAATCAAGTGGTTTAATGTATGATCAGGTAGTGAGATCAGGGAAATGGTGGTTGGAATCTTCTAAAAAAGTGGGGTTTTGAAGTACTAGTGGGATATGGGTGGTCACAGAGAGGGTGAAGGACATTTCAGGCAGAGAGCAGCGCCTGGGTGCTGCCTAGAGAAGGGAAGGAACCACGAGGCATTTGAGCAAGGAGAGGTAGTTAAGGCCCAGGGCATGGCAAGTTGCTGAACAGGCTGGAAGCCACTGCTTTGAGTATGTTTTGACATTTTATTTAAACACTGCCTTTAGTGATGAATGAAATCCTTAGACCTATTACCATATATTCTGAATTAAGCAGTGGTACCGACATTTTAGGAGCTGACCTCTGTCCCTGCTGCCTGCTTTGGAGAAGAGTTTGTGAGGGGCAAAACATAGGGGAAAAAGCATGGCTCAGCAGCTCCAGCACTGGTCTGTAAGTGCAGGAACTTTTTCTGTGGCCTGTATGAGCTCCAGCCTCTCTGGAACCCTATTCTCTCCCATGTCAGACGGGGTTCAATTTCATACTCGAATTCATTCTGTAGCACTCAGTGTGACTCGCACCAACGAGATTGTAAGTGCTGGAGAGATGAACATGGCCGCGTCCTTCATATTGCTGGATGCAAAGAGTACTTCTCAGTCCCTGTCTTATTCTCCTCCGGTGGCCTTTGACCCCTTCGCAGCTGTCACCTCCCTTGACCTCTGTGAGATCATGTTCTACGTGGCTCCTCTTCAAGCGCCTTGGTTGTTCCTCTAAATACTTAGCTTGTAAAGCTTCGATTTCTCATCTGTGAAGTAGAGACAACAGTGCCAGCTTTATTAGGGTTGTGATAAGGTTAAATGAGAGTGTGCATGTCACTGTCCAAGCACGGAGGCGAGAGCAAGAAAAGGAGGCAGAGAGGGCCCTTGAACATCCTTAGAGAGAGCTCTTCCCATGTTCTTAAACAAAGTCCTTCTTTATCTTAACTTTTTAAACATTTATTGGATTTAATGAGGACAAAATGATCATTTTATACCCATAAATAATACCTACCCAGTTTATGTATTCTCAGCATATGAATGCCCTGTGGTGTTCACAGTGCTGCTGTGAGGTGGTAGGTAAGTGTCATCCAACGATGGGAGCCTAAGGTGCAGAGCCACTGTCTTGCCTAGGGGCGTGGAGTAGCTCAGTGCTTGGGCTCAGGCAGCAGGAGCCCCAGACTCTTCCTTCACAGCACTAACAGCCTGTGATATGTTCCATCAGAGGATGGTGGAGCCAGCTGGAATCGGAGGGTGAGGCCTCAGCATGAGCAGGAGGCTGCCACACTTGGTCCCCAGCCAGCTCTCAGCCCTGTCCTCCTCCTCAGTGTTCCTAAAAGGCAGCATAGCACTGGGAGCTCAGTGCTGGGCTCTGTAGCTGTGTTTTAATCAGTATTGAATACCACCAGGCATGCTGCCAGATAGCCAGTGGTGGTTCAGGGGGCTTTGTTTCCCTTTCTTTCCGACCTTGGAAATAGGGAATGTAAATTGGGGCCCTGGGAGGAGGTCTTGGTTGTGGTTGTTCTAGAGGAGTCCTGTTGCTGTTGATTTTAGTCATTGACTCCTGGTTGTTTTGACTGATTTCCACAATTCTCCACATCTTATACTTGCTGCCATCTGAATGCTTTCATTAGTATGTGAGATTTTGTTGATTCCTACCAGTATGTGTCTGGTGGGCAGTCACATTTGCCTGCCATGCCACCAGCTTCCTAAGACATGAATGAAGTCCCCATATACCTCTTGTTTGCCCTGGCTGTGTCATTCTATCACATAGCCTAGGCCACTCTGAGTTCTTGGTCACTGCTGGAGCCAACCACTGCAGTCCTAGTGGTAGCCAGAGCCAAGAAGTTCTTTATTCGCCTGTTGCCCAGAGAAAGTGCTGGTTGCTGGTCTTCTGGCTGCTCCTCTCTGAGCAGTATTTCCATTTGGTGAGGAGGCACCATTGTGAATAAAAGTCAGTGGGACACAGGAAAGGCAAGGGCAGCTGTGGACCCCCGTGTTGAATCATTGCTGTTTTGTGTAGGGGTCTGTTTGTTCACATTAAGAACTGAGAAAAATGCCTCCTATTCTGCCGACCTTGCTTTCAAATTACATATAGGAAATACGCTGAAATTGATCCTTGTCCTTAAGCAGCTTGAGTTCTGAAAATACCGTAAGAGAAGTTCTGTTCTTTATTGAAGAGCCTTCCTCAACTATATTATTTTAAAATTTTAATTATTTCCCCCATTTAAAAATTTCTATTTCTCCAAGGAACGATAGAGATTATTATTACAGATCATGGGGTCGTCAACCCGGAAAGCTCACCTAAGCCAGCCCTCTCCTTTGAACAATCTGGTGATCTCTCTCCAGAAAGGTTGTGACCTGCACAACTAATTCAGTGACCAATCAGAACAAAGGCTGAGGTTTTTTACTCCCATTTTGGTTTCTCTTTGTTTGGATTTGCTGTATTATACCGTGGTGTTTTTCCCAGCACTTAAGAAAGGGGAAAAAGGGTTAAGACGTAAGTGCATTCAGATTGAAAAAGTCATGAATGTCTTCTCTTTTGTCAGAAAAGAGATTTGGGTCTCGTGAAGTACAATAGGCTAAAGATCCTTGTCCTATTTTTAGAATCACAGGTTTGAAAACCTACATTCATCTAATCCTCCAGAATTTCCAGTGGTAATAAATTCTGATTGAAGTGCTTGAATGCCATATCTGTTTGAAATAATGTCAAGGTGTAGAGGTCAGTAGGAGGTGGCTTTCCAGACCTTTTAGCTAAAGCTGTAAGCAGAGTTTGGGAGTGACAACTGTAATAACACTCTTCAGCTAAGTGGTTGGGAAGTAGGCAGCAGTATTAAACTCTCAGAGAGTCAAGTGACTTGAGGATCGTAAGCAATGGTAACCAGTGTTAGGCTTACGTCCTAAAAGGGACATTACCAAAAACAAAGTCACTACGCAGATTCTCTGAAGCTTTCAGAAGATGGTGTCAGTATTTAGCTGGTTCTTCTTTCCTAATCTCATTTGCTCTCTCTTGGCCCTAGTCTAGACCTGGCTCTATTCACCTCATACCTAGATGATTGCACCTCATTGTCTCCTTTCTTTTTCTCCTTCATCTCTCACCATGCTAACCTTCCTAAAGCACTTCCTTTCATCTGCTGCTGGCTGTTAAAAATGTTGAGTGGCTCCCTAGTGGCCTGATTCAGTTTGCCCTCTCTCTGCTTCTCTGGTGTCCTCTCCTCCTGGCCCCATCTCTTTCTCCAGCCTGAACTGCCCGCGTTCCTTAACTGCATAGTGCACATCAGTTCAGTGGGTGATGGTGTGGTCCCAGCAGTCAGGCAGCCTGAACCCAAATCCTGCTCTCCCAGTCTTACGACCTCAGGTATGTTAGGTAAATTGACTGTTTTCTCATCTGTTGAGTGAGGACAAAAAGGCTTTATAAGAATTTCGTGAAATAGCACAGGTAAAAATGCGTGGGGCAGTTTCTAGTGCATAGTAAGTGCTATTAGGGTCAATGTTACCATTCCTGCCTCTGTACCTTTGTTCCTGTTACTAGTTTCACTTACCTAAGGCCTTCACTCCTCCAAGGCCCAGCCTTATCTCATCTCCCCATTCATAAGAGCGCTGGCCCGTAGTATGGCAGTCCCCTGTTTCCAGTTTTCTTTGCAGTACTAGTGACCAGGACAGTGCGTTTCCTGCCACAGTGGTCTCTCTGTGCCTTGGACGCCTCAGCGTGCTCCCACCTCAGAGGCACCTTCGTGCTGGCTACTCTCCGCTTGGATGCTCTTCCCTCAGGTGGTCCATGGCTGCTCCCGCCTTCATTTTGATATCTGCTCCTTCCCTGACTGTACTAGCTACAGTAGCATCCCTCTTCACCTTACCTATTTTTAACCTGCTAGGGGTTTTTAATAACATTTACCACCACTGTGCAGTTATTTTCTTATTATCCGCGACTGGATGCTAAGCTCCATGAGAGGATAAACTTTGATTTGTCCATAGTTTTAGCCCCCAAACCTAGAAAAGTACTTGGCATATAGTACGAGTTCAAATGTTTCTTTAATAAATGAATGGTAATAACAAGTTGTGTTTATGTAGGGAAACAGACAGTTTGCATCCATATACATGCTTTTACTTGCTTTGTAACTACAGTGACAGAAATATTATAAGCTTTAGTTTGCAGATGAGAAGCAAGCTTACAGAGCTTTAAAGATTTGTTTAAGGTCAAACATCTGTAATAGACCCTGAGGTCTCCTGAACTGCAGGTCCAGTGTGGTTGCACACGCCGTGCTCTGTGCTGGGTGTTTGGGCGGCGATGGTGCCGTGATGGTGGAGGGTAGCAGGACGTCTTCCCGGCTGTTGCAAGTCACAGGGCCAGACTGCTGCCAAGGGCCGTCGCCTTCGTAATCTCATTCGATTCTCCTCACAAAGTAACAGGGCAAGGAGTCTTGTTTTGACCTGTATTGATAATTCTTTTATATTGACAAAGCCTTCTCTACATTGATATTTCTGGCTCTCTTGTCTACTTTTGTACATACCCTTAATGTTTAACTGCTTTTCCTATAAATATAGTTTGATACAATGTTAGCTTTGTGCCTGGGAGGAAGGCAAGCTGAGGGGAACCAGACTGGATACAGTGTAACTCCTGAGTGCTGCAACTCTACAACTAACCAGAAACACCAACCTAGTTTTTAAGATGAGGCGAAACCCCAACGTGCCTTATCCTTATTCTGTCCTTTGTCTACTTAATTCTTCTCTAGTCCCCACCCTTCAGCAGTGATTTTGGTCTGTAGTATTACCTTGTTTGCCTTTTGATGTGAATTAACTTTTCAGCTTTCTAGATTATACATTCCAGCATTAGAAGTATAGAAACTGATTTGGGAAGCAACTGCACACATGTCATAGGAGAAGCATGGTTTCACATGAGCCCTGTAAGATACATGAGGCCAGGAAGGAAGATCATTGCAGAATGATGCTGTTTAAGGGATCTACAGGTAACTGTGTGTAAATCATGAGACCAGATATAATTACTATAGAACACAATTTGGCAAACTTTTCTGCAAAGGATCAGATGGTAAAATTTTAGGCTTCTCGGCCATACAGTCTCTGTATCAACTGCTCAGCTCTGCTATTGGAGCTTGAAAGCAGCCACAGAACAGAGCAAAGGGAATGCCTTGGTTTGACATGAAAGTCTTACTTTGTGGACCCCTCCTAGCAATATTAAGTTCTGTAGATTTTGTACGGTGGCCATGGAAGGTTTTACTGAGGAGTTGGGACTTGAGCAAGAATTTGAAGAATGGCTAGGATTTGACTGGTGGAGAGGGAGCAACTGAATTAAAGGACAAACTAGGCAATATAGGCATGCTTAAGAGACAGACATTAAGCCAATCACCCTGACCAGTATTTATACACTTCTTTCCTCATTGACTAGATTCCTATTACAGGGGCACTTCTGAACCTAAAGAACTAAGATAGTTCTGTTCTTCAGCTGGTGTCCAGTACACTGGGTCCGTGCAGTCATCTCCCCTACCAGGGCGGGAGGGCGGGGATGGGAGCCTTGAGTCATTGCTCTGCCTCTCACCTGTTTTCTGCCTGTTCTTCGGAGATTTAGGTTCACTTCCTGGCTTTACCACTGTGAGTTTCACTTTCCCATCTGTAAATAGGGATATTATTACATTGTTATCTTGAGCATTGATGAGATAATCCATGTAAAATGCTGAGTACAGTAGTACTCTTAATAGTAAAAGCTCAGTAAGTGGTAGCTGTTGTTTTTATAACCAGTAGATTGGAAATACTAGTGTTGCTTTGTTGGAATTATTTTAGGTTTTTAAAGTGAGTATATATATTCAGGATGTTTTGAGTAAAAGCGGGGAATCATAGAAAGCATTCTAGTCTGAAAGAACATGACAAAAGGGCCAAAGGCTTGGAAGTATTCAATGTAAGACTGTTTCTGCAGAGTTGAGAAATGTGGCTGGACATAGAAATAGAAAAATGAGACTCTTACCCCCTCATCGTGGAGTCTCTTCTTTTTGCCCCCTCCACTCTTGTTTCCCTGATAGTGTGCATCTTGTTTTGTTCCCCTTAGGGTGACCCCTGTTGATATACTTAGAGGAGAATAAATTTCCTGTGCATATTAATGGGATTATCAGAAATAAAATATTTTATTTATTGAATGAGAATCCAAATTTCACATACATTATTAAATGACACCTTGGAATGGATGGTTGGGGAATGTTTTTCAGGTTGAAAATATCCTCTTGCATGACCGAGGCCACTACGTCTTGTGTGACTTTGGAAGCGCCACCAACAAATTCCAGAATCCACAAACTGAAGGAGTGAATGCAGTAGAAGATGAGATTAAAAAGTAAGCTTTTCCTCTTTTCTTAGAGTTCTGTCCATTATGAGGATTAGCAACTTTCAGCATATGGATAAGGCGGTCAGGGTGCGAAGACAATGATGCTAGTCAGTTGCCCTCTTCTTAGATGTGTTGGCAGTTGGGTTGTTTGATTTTAAGTAGAGGATGTTTACAATTATTGATCAGTAGAGTGAAATGAAGGACTGCTGTAGCACTTTATCAGTGGGCCTTTGGGCATGGTACACAGATATTTTGATTTATATCACATAGCCCTTAAAAAGCTGGATAGTGCTCACCATAGAAATATTGTGATGTTTTTAAGTGAGAACACAACAATCGTGACATTATTAGTGAGTTGAATGTGCTTTTACTGAACCCTAAGTTGTTGTATATCCCTTCCTCCTTATAAGGAGTTCACCTGCGGTATAGTTGGAGGGATGAATAGGGCTATTGAAGTCTCTACAGATAGAGTCACTGACTTTCATGAGGAAAAACCTCTCTGGATATGTGACTCCAGTAAGAATTTGACCCACTTTCCCTGTGTCCAGAGTGCTGGATTTTTTCACAGGCTATTAAAACGACTAATAACTCAGCAGTCTAGCATGTCCACTCATATCCTGATCCCTCTCCCTTTCCTGCATCACCCCTGGCAACCAAGTCTGGGGCAAGAAAACTTCTGGTCCAAGGCCCTAATGGACACCTATAAGTACTCTCTGGCCTCTAGAGACTCAAGCAGCACAGCTCACAATGCTTGATAACACCAAGACACTCACTATAAAGATGAGCTTATATTCCTCTTTTCTTGAGTCAGAATAAGAGGAAAACTGTTGTTTTAGCCCTAATCCCGCAGCAAAGATCGGTCGCCTCCTACCCCAATCATTTTCTTCTGTTCTCCAGAGTGTCCAGCCAGCATTAGGTCTCTATGTCAAGCCACATTAAAAGGGACTACTATTTTTAAAAACATATCAGCAAAATATAGTATCAAACAACAAGGGTTTATAGGAGAAAATTTTGTTATTTGAGAATCCAAGAAAAGTTGCTTTTAGAGTTCATCGGATGCCATAGTGTCTGGGTCCCCACATGCTCTTAGATTAGGACTGCTGCCAGAGGGCCACGGGTGCGTGCCGCGGACAGCTTTTCTTTTATCTGCGCTGACATTTCATACTTCCCTCTGCAGATTGCTCCCAGGGAACTCATATATACATATATTTAAAGTATTCTGCTACCCCTGGTCTTTAATTATATCATTGACATACTTAACAAAAAATGAATCTCTTGATTGTAGATACACAACGCTGTCCTATCGGGCACCAGAAATGGTCAACCTGTACAGTGGCAAAATCATCACTACGAAGGCAGACATTTGGGTAGGTGTCAACTAACCTATCCACATCTCAGACATCAGCAGTCTTGACTGTAATCTCCCATTTAATCCAGACAGTGCCATAGCAAGAATGGCCATTGTAGCTTATCATTGTCCCTTGCGTTATTCTTATCCCTTGGCGTTATTCTTTACTCAAGATGACCAACCACTGCTTCTTGAAGCGTGTCCAAGAAAATTACTTTAGAGCTCTGTGACAATTATTCAGGTGACCTGCCCTTTATTTAGGTGGTTGTCACATATGTGTTACTAGTTCTTGAGAGCAAAACAGCTGAAGTAACTTGTTCTTTATTGGAGCTCAATTTGATAATGAGAGTAGAAATAATGTAACTCAGCAGCTTAATAGTGGTGTTGGGTTCTAAATTAAAATTATTTACAAATTGATAGTACATAGTTTTTATATCTGCTAGTAAATGTGGATGGTGCCAGTATCGCTCAGTAGACCCATTTGCAGTTACGGTAAATAAATCTTTAGTAGCAATCTGCTTTCTTTATTTTTTTTAGGCTCTTGGATGTTTATTGTATAAATTATGCTATTTCACTTTGCCATTTGGAGAGAGTCAGGTGGCAATTTGTGATGGAAACTTCACAATTCCTGATAACTCTCGATATTCCCAAGACATGCACTGCTTGATTAGTAAGTATTTCTAGTTTTATATTGTTATCTCTAATCTCTAGGAGTGAATTGGAGGATAAAGGAAGCGGTGGATTAGATGCAAAGATAAAGAAGTCAGTTGATAATGGGTGATCATGCAAACAAATTATAACAGTGTCTAGTGAGAGTGATGGGTGTTTTTTTGTTTGTTTGTTTGTTTGTTTTTTGCTAGAAATCTAAACTATTTTATACCTGAGTCAGTCACCTGAGCAGAAATCCTAGCTGTGCTTTGAGCAGTATAGTATGGCTCTGCTCTCTTTCAGTCTGTTTGAAAGCTCTGTTACCAAAGGAGTCCAGCTGACTCATATCAAGTGATAAGAAATCCAACTTTGCAAAACTGGAAGCAAGTCAAATCAAAATAATTGCAGTGCATTGACTGGAGTGAATACATAATTAAAACTATATAACTCTATGGAACTAGGTTTTCCCTCTCCCTTAGGTTAATCACTAGGTTTTGATAAAAAGTATTTGAACTCAGTGCTTTGTTTTAAATCTTTTCTTTTTAAATTCCCCACTTTTTTGCATCATCATAGTAAGCATATGGACTAATGTTCATTAACCAGATGGTGGGACAAGTAATCTTTGCATAAGCCCCTGTTCTAAAATGCTAAAGAAACAGATTATTTTTATCTTTTTACATCAGTGAATACATGTAGCATCTAAATTCTAACCATTATGGATTATAATTCCTGAGCAACCTAGTTTAGGTCCTCGGTGGGGATGCTCTGGAGAAAATAGAAGCCCAATGTGGAGTGTAGCATCTGACATTCATTGAGGGCCTACTTGTATTTCATTTAATTCTTAAAACCTTATGCAGTAAGTGTAATTATTCACATTATGCAAATGAGGAAACTAAAGCTGAGGAAATATAGGTAACTTACCCAAGTTAACATAGTTATAGTTTTTAAGTGACTACCCATTCCCTTGTGCCAGTTTTTATCAATCTCTATTTATTAAGAAAAAAGTGAGGAAGGTTATTTAAAGGAATGGAGTGTAGAATTTAATGGTTATTGGATTGTTTTCAGAGGTAGAGTGTTATATCTATTCTAGAATTGCAGCTATTTAAATGAGATTGGAAAGAAATATAAGAAAATGGCCCAATTTGATGCTAGAATGATTGGATTATTTTGACGGTAAGTTTTTTTGTTAACATTTGTGCAGCAAACTCATTTTAGGAAAAACAACTCTTTGTGAATGTCTGTAACATGATATCTTTACTAAACTCTGATCTATATATTTCAGTTTACAAACTCTTTGAAGAGTTTAGACCCTAAACCCATAGGGCTAAAATTAAAATTAAATTTACTGTCATCCCCTGCCCGCTTTTACTCTCATTTCAAGGTTCCCCTCTCTTTTCAATTCTGTCAGTGGTGTCACCATTAAAGCCTGGATGACTGAAATTTAAGGGGTTTTTTTGGATTTGCTGAGCAAGAGAGAGGAAAGAGTATTTCCTAGGTAGCATTAATTCTTTCCTCGGCCTTTCCTGTTTTCATTACATTCTCTCCATCCTCATTACTGTCAAGATAGTGTGTATGTACAGACTCTGTCAGCTTATGCTTGTAGTGGATTGCCCATAGCCTGTCCCCTCCTCCTTCAGTCTATCCAACACACCTTAACCACAAGATTAACCTTGTAAAATGCCATTCTATCATGTGCCTGTGCAGTAAACTTCATGACTACAGTAGGGCCGAGATTTTTAGTATGGCATTTAAGATCTTTCATATTCTGGTACCGTCCCACCTACCCAGCCTTATTTGCCTGTACTCTCAGACAAAGAAATCTACGCCCTGGCCTCCTGGCTCCTCTGTTTCCTTGTAACAAATCATTCTTTTGTCTTTCTCTAAGTTCATCATTGTTCAGACTCTTCTCTCACCTAGAATATCTTTTTCTTTGCTTTTCCCAGACTGGCCAAATTCTTTATTTTTTTTATCTTTAAAAAGATTTTATTTATTTTTATAAAGAGGAAGAGAGGGAGAAAGAGAAGGAGAGAAACATCAATGTGTGGTTGCATTTTGTGCGCGCCCTGCTGGGGACCTGGCCTGCAACCCAGGCATGTGCCCTACACTGGAAATTGAACTGGTGACCCTTTGGTTTGCAGGCCGGCTCTCAATCCACTGAGCCACACCAGCCAGTGTAAAATTCTTTCCTGCCTTCAAGGACCAGCCCAAGTCCTGCCTCTTCTGCAAGGCCTTCACAAGGCTACAACCTCATCAATTTTGTCTGAACTTAGTGTCTAAACCATGTATTTGATTTCTTAAGCAATAGTTGCCTTGCATTGTTGTTTGTATGCTTGTGTGTCTTATTAAAGGTTTTTTTTTTCCTGAGGATTTTTCCAGTTTCAGAGAGGGCAGTTGGAAACAAACAAATGATCTGTAGATCACAGTAAAAGCAGATATGTATTTGTTATTTTGTGATTTTTTTTTAGACTTTATACTATCTTAGATCCCTAACAAAATAATAATAAATTATAAATTCATAAAATTTGAGTTTTGGTTATAAGTATTAAGAATAATGATTTGTTTAGCAAGATCATATAAACTAAGGAGGCTAGAGGCAAGACCATAGAACTTCCTAAGTACCAGAATATGAAGGTAGTAACTTTCATATTAAGAGTTTGAGCCCTTGCTGGTGTAGCTTAGTGGATTGAGCACCATTCTGCAAATCAGAGGGTTGCCAGTTCGATTCTCACTCAGGGCACATGCCTGGGTTTCAGGCCAGGTCCCCCAGCAGGGGGCACGTGAAAGGCAACCACATATTGATATTTCTCTCCCTCTCTTTCTCCCTCCCTTCCTTCTGTCTAAAAATAAATAAATAAAATCTTTAAAAAAAAATTTGAGTCCCTGTTGTGCAGAGCAGAGAGTGTGAATTTCAGGTATTTTTGTTACAATTTAAAAACTTTGTTATTTTCTTGTGGATATTAAAATCTTAGGAAAGTGAGAGCTTCCCTTTCTGAGAAGGGAAAAAAATGACAAATTGCACTATCTGACTTTTATGAGAAAAAAATTTGAAAACAACAAATTTTGGTCAGAGACATTATGCTTTCTAGATAATATGCTGTTAGGATATTATTAAATGAGTTCACATATGTTTGTTTTAGGATATATGTTGGAACCAGACCCTGACAAAAGGCCAGATATTTACCAGGTCTCCTACTTCTCATTTAAACTACTCAAGAAAGAATGCCCAATTCCGAATGTACAGGTATGTAAAATGTACTTTTTAGGGGAAGTAAACATTATTGAGTTGTCATTTACAATTCTTGGATGTCAGTCAGCTGTTTAGTGAATGTAGATTTCCCTTGCTTTACTTAGTAGGACTCATTCACATGCAAAACTAACTTTGAAGCAATTAATATAAACAGAACCCAATTTTCCAATAGAATTTAATTATAAAACTGAGGCAATTACACTGAAGAAAAAAAAGCCCTAGGGATTGAGTTGAACACTTTGGATGAAGATTGACTGAATAACTGTCTTTCTGATTTTCACAGTTCACTAAGAGCCATGAGCATATTGTATTTACCTAGAGGAGATTAGGCAAGCTGCTTGCCTGAGACAAGGCCCTGGACTTACCCGCATACTAGTTGGAATGTTAGCCCCTTGCCCCTTTACTCTTTCATTGCAGCAGAGCCTTCTTGATTTTACTTCTCCTGTTAGCCATCTGTGACTCTCACTCCTTTCCTCCACCCTCCTCACACACATCAGGCTATAAGGATGTTTTCTGTACTTCGTAATCCTAAGCTCTGCACTCACAGTTTGAGTACAGTTCTTGCAAAACCCTTTTTACAGTCTTAGAGTATTTTTTTGTGTCACAATATGTTCCAACTCTTTTGAATATTTTACTAATGAATGACATCATAATTAAGTTCTAATCTGAAATTTTCTTGCCTGCTTCTCCAATAATGAAGTTCTGATGTCACTTTTGGGGCTAATAAATAACACTCCACTTTCACACCCACATTTGGATCAGATGTAGGAATCATTCAGATGGAGCTCAGAATATTGGCATTATTACTAATAAGATTGAATCAGACAACATCCATTTACAATTAAAACACTCAATTAAATGGGTATTGAATGAAAGTACTGCAATATAATAAAGGGCATATGTAACAAATCCTCAGCCAATATCATACTCAATGGTGAAAAACTGAAAGCTTTTCCTCTAAAATCAGGAACAAGACAAGGATGCCCACTCTTACCACTCTTATTCAACATAGTTCAGAAAGTCCTAGCCAGAGCAGTCAGGGAAGAGAAAGAAACAAAAGGCATCCAAACTGGGAACAAGTACGTAAAGTGTCACTTTTTGCAGATGATATGATTCTGTATATAGAAAATCCTAAAGACTCCACCATATACTATTAGAAACAATAAACAAATACAGTGAAGTTTTTGAAGCAGGATACAAAATCAATGTACAAAAATCCATTGCTTTACTGTGTACTAACAATGAAGTTTCAGAAAAAGAAATGAAAAAAAATTCCTTTTGCAATTGTAACCAAAGAATAGAATACTTAGGAATAGACTTAACAAAGGATGTGAAGGACCTATATACTGAAAACTACAAAGCATTATTAAAAGAGATTGAAAAAGACACAATGAAATGGAAATATATTCCATACTTATGGATTAAAAGAATCAATATAGTTAAAGTTGCCATATTACCCAAAGCAACATGCAGATTTAATGCAATCCCCGTCAAAATTCCAATGTCATTTTTTAAATAAATAGAACCAAAAGTCATCAGATTTGTATGGAACCACAAAAGACCCTAAACAGCAAAAGTAATGCTGAGAAAAAGAACAAAGCTGGAGGCATCACAGTACCTGACTTCAAATTATACTACAGAGCTATGATAATCAAAACGGCATGGTACTGGCAGAAAATCAGACACACAAAATGAAACAGAATTGAGAGTCCATAAATAAAACAACATCTATATGCACAAATAATTTTTGACAAAGGAGCCAAAAACACACTGGAGAAAAATAAAACCTCTTCAGTAAATGGTGCTGGCAAAATCAGAAAGCCGCATGCAGAAGAATGAAACTAGACTGCAGTTTGCCCCCATGTACAAAAATTAATTCAAAATTAATCAAAGACCTAAATATAAGATCTGAAACAATAAGTTACATAGAAGAAAACATAGATATTAAACTTATGGACCTTGGTCTTAGAGCTTTTGTAAGTTTAACCCAAAAGACAAGGAAAGTAAAGGCAAAAATAAATAAGTGGAACTATATCAAACTAAAAAGCTTCTGTACAGCAAAAGAAACCAACAACAAAACAAAAAGGCATACAACCAAATGGCAGATCATATTTGCAAATAATAGCTCTGACAAGGGGTTAATATTCCAAAATATATAAAGAACTCATACAACTCAACACCAAACAAACAATCCAGTTTAAAAATGGGCAGAGGACCTAAACAGACACTTCTCCCAAGAAGACATACAAATGATGAACAGATATATGAGTAGATACTCAACTTCAATAGCTATTAGGGAAATGCATATCAAAACTACAATGAGGTACCACCTCATACCTGTTAGAATGGCTATTATCAACAAGACAGGTAATAACAAGTGGTAGAGAGGTTGTGGAGAAAAAAGAGCCCTCATTTACTGCTGGTGGGAATGTAAACTGGTACAACCTCTATAGAACGCAGTATGACGGTTCCTGAAACAATTAAGAAAAGACTTACCATATGACCCAGCAATCCGTCTTCTGGGTAGCTACACAAAAAACTCAAAAACATGTGTCCTCAAAGATGTATGCACCCCTATGTTCATTGTAGCATTATTTACAATAGCCAAGACATGGAGACAACCACAGTGTCCTTTCACAGAATACTGGATAAAGATGTGGTACATATATACTTTGGAATACTATTCATCCATAAGGAAAGATGAAGTATTGCCATTTGTGACAACATGGACCTTGAGAATACTATCTATGCTAAGCCAAATAAGTCAGTCAGAAAAAGCTAAGAACCATGTGATTCCACTCATATGTGGGGTATAAAATTGAAACTCATAGACACAGACAATAGTATGGTGGTTACCAGAGGGAAGGGGCTGGGGGAGAGTAGTAAACAGTAAAGGGGGCCAAATATATGGAGATAGGAGATTGTTTGGCTTTGTCTGGTGGACACACAATACAATATACAGATCATGTATCATAGAAATGTACACTTGAAACCTACATGATCTTATTAACCCAGTTACCCCAATAAATCTAATTTTTCAAAAATCAAGCCCTGGCTGGTGTGGCTCAGTGGATTGAGTGCTGGCCTGTGAACCAAAGGATTGCCAGTTCAATTCCCAGTCAGGGCCCATGCCCAAGTTGCAGGCCAGTTCCCCAGAAGGGGGTGCTCAAGGGTCAACCACGCATTGACATTTCTCTCCCTCTTCTGCCTTTCTTCCCCTCTCTCTAAAAATAAATAAATAAAATCTTTTAAAAATTAAAACAAAATTTTTTTTAAAAAGCTACAAAGTTCATGACTTGGTATCAAACTAAAAGAAGTTTTAGAAAAAACAATTGAGAAGTGTTCACTAATGATCTGGACTAGCTTTCTCTGAACATGATTAGAATCTTTAATAGAATTTCCTGGACTTCTGGCCAAGATGGAGGCACAGGTAGATACACTTTGCCTCCTTGCACAACCAAAAGAAGGACAAACAACAAATTTAAAAACAAAAAATAACCAGATCGGACAGAATATCAAACTGCACGGAAGTCTGACAACCAAGGGGTTAAAGAAGAAACATTTATCCAGACCGGTAGGAGAGGCGGAGATGAGCAGCTGGGACAGAGAGGATGTGTGGCAAGGTGGCAACTGGCAGATCCGGCAGTCCCACATTTACATGCAGATAAACCGGGAGGAATAGCTGAGGAGTGAGATTGAGCAATCCAGGGTTCTACCACAGGGGAAAGAAAGCTTCAAAACCTCTGGCTGTAAAAACCTTATGGGGGTGCAGCGGTGGGAGAGACTCCCAACCTCACAGGAGAGTTCGTTGGAGAGACCCACAGGGTCCTAGAATGTATACAAACCCACCCACCTGGGAATCAGCACCAGAAGGGCCAATTTGCTTGTGGATAATGGGAAGTGACTGAAAGCTGGCCTAGAGCCAAGCAAGCAGCATTGTTCCCTCTCGGACCCCTGCCCCTCCTACAGCATCACACACAGAGAAAGAGTTGTCCTGCCCTAGGGAATACCTAAGGCTCTGCCCCTTACAACTTAACAGGCACACTGAGACAAAGAAATATGGCCCAAATGAAAGAACAGATCAAAGCTCCAAAAATAGAACTAAGCGATGAACAGATAACCACCCTATCAGATGCACAGTTCAAAACACTGGTAATCAGGATGCTCACTGAATTGGTTGAGTATGGTCACAAAATAGAGGAAAAAATGAAGGCTGTACAAAGTGAAATAAAGAAAAATATACAGGAAACCAACAATGAAGGGAAGGAAACCAGGGCTCACATCAATGACTGGGAGGAGAAGAAAGAGATAACCATTCAACCAGGACAGAATGAAGAAACAAGAATTCAAAAAAATGAGCAGAGGTTCAGGAACCTCTGGGACAACTTGAAATGTTCCAATCATCCGAATCATAGGAGTGCCAAAAGGAGAAGAGGAAGAGCAAGAAATTGAAAACTTATTTGAAAAAATAATGAAAGAGAACTTCCCCAACCTGGAGAAGGAAACAGACTTCCAGGAGATCCGGGAACCTCAGAAAGACCCAAAGAAGTTGGACCCAAGGAAGCACACACCAAGGCACATCATAGTTACATTACCCAAGATTAAAGATAAAGAGAGAATCTTAAAAGCAAGAGAAAAAGAGACAGTTACCTACAAAGGAGTTGTCATAAGACAATCAGCTGACTTCCCAAAAGAAAGCTTGCAGGCAAGAAGGGGCTGGCAAGAAGTATTCAAAGTCTTGAAAGGGAGGGACAGACATCCTAGATTACTCTATCCAGCAAAACTATCATTTATAATGGAAGGGCAGATAAAGTGCTTCCCAGATAAGGTTAAGTTGAAAGAGTTCATCCTCACCAAGCCCTTGTTATAGGAAATGTTAAAGGGACTTATCTAAGAAATAGGAGATCAAAAACTATGAACAATAAAATGACAACAAACTCGTAACTATCAACACCAGCACCTAAAAAAACAAAAATAAAAACTAAGCAAACAACTAGAACAAGAACAGAAGCACATAAATGAACATTAGAGGGGAGTGGGAGCTGGGGGAATGGCAGAGAAGGTACAGGGAATAAGAAGCATAAATGGTAGGTACAAAATAGACAGGGGGAGGTTAAGAATAGTATAGGAAATGGAGAAGCTAAGGAACTTATATGTACACCCATGAATATGAACTAAAGGGAGGGGAATTCCTGTGGGAGTGGGGGTGCAGGACAGAGGGGAATGAAAGGGAGAAAAAAAATGGGTCAACTGTAATTGCATAATCAATAAAAAATATATATAAAATATATATATAAAAGAATTTCCCTTGTATCAAAAAAAAAAAAAAAAGGATTGAGTCAGACAACGCAGCTCAAGCAGTCAGACTCCTTAACATGAGAGCCTCATGACCAAGCAGTGAGCAGCTGATTCCTAGAGAGACAGTCTCTTCCCTAAAGGAGAGAGAGCAAGGGCAAGCCAGACAAGTTACCTTTTTCTCCAGCCTTATAAGCCAAGTGTTCCTCTTCCCTGGGGAGAGGAACACTTGGAGGATGAAAGAGAAGGCAGGAGACATTTTCTTCAGAAATTCTCACCACCTGGAAAATGTGAAGGAAATGGGACATCCCCTTGAAAGCCCATTTCATTACTAGTATTCTGTTGTGTTTCCCAGAATAAATGAGGGATATTGTACAGTAACCTAACATGCTTGTGTTTTCTTTTACTATTCCACTTTACTATTCACACAGTTAAGTAGCATGAAATATAATTGGAAGCATTCAGATTGGTAATTATTTTATAGTAAGTCAGCCTGACAAGTCTCGAGTCACTTGATACTCCCTCAGCAGAGGTCAACAGTGATCTTGTGGTTAGGGACAATTAGTGGTCCCTCGAGAGACAATATTAGATGGTGCAGAATCCAAGCTGGAGGAGCTCTGCTTGGCCTGTGGACTGAGTATAGCCTCATGTGCTGGGAAGAGGTGCTGGCTCAGCAACCAGATACACTGTGGCTGTGGTCTTCTTCCATCATTCTAACTAGAAGACTGAACGCATCCCGGTCTGACACAATAGTCAGCTCTAACTTATCTAATATCTAGCTGAGGGCTTAAATGTAATATAGGTTGCAGACATCTCTTTCTGTTCCTTTCTTAACATCATTTCTAAGCTGTGCTATTGGGAGAGAAAGGTACTGAGATAAAGCCCCAGTGACCTTAGCCATACAAAAGGTTGAGAAGGACAGCATAGGAGTGTGCTGCAGGCAGGCTGCTCTGTCCTCTTCTCAGATGCTTTGCGTCTTGACTGGGGCCAAGTCCAGTGGGATATGCTTTTGGTTAACTTCCCTTCTCTCTACCAGAGATCAGAGTCTGGAAGCCATTCTGGAAGAACCCCAACACATATTTCCATCAGCCAAATCATGCTGGTTATTCTTTTACAGAGAAATCTGATGTTCTTTTTAAAATTTTTCTTTGAATTCTATAGAACTCTCCCATTCCTGCAAAGCTCCCTGAGCCAGTGAAAGCCAGTGAGGCAGCTGCAAAGAAGAGCCAGCCAAAGGCCAGGTAAGAAATGCCGCAGTGAGCACCTCTTATACTCCTTTGTCTCAGCATGGGAGGGTGCCCTTGGGGCAGAAGCTGTCCTTTGGGAGTGCAGGGAGGAATATAATGAAATACAGTGCTCTACATTTGAAAGATGATCTAACACTCCATAGCAATTTCTCTTGCTTGGGAATAGGTGCAGGGGCATTCAGGGAGGAGACAACAGCAGACTTTAAATATTGCTAGTACAAGAGTATCCTAAACAAGTGTCCTGGCCTTTGTTTATTAGCCTCCTTAAGCACCCTAATCTTCCACCCCCCTTTCCTTTTTACTCACTATGGGTCTAGCCATGTTATGAAAGTACAGGTCAAAGCAGAGTCTATGAGTAGCCAAAGAGCCTATGGAACTTAGCTACTCACATTCTGTGTAACCTAGGATCTTCCAAGAAGCAGATGCTAAGAGAAAACTAAAGAGGCTGGGATTTTATTTGGGGAAGTGCCCCTGAGGGAGAAAATAGGGTGGGAGCCAGGAAAGGCTGGGAGAGCCATCAGAAGGCGATGTAAGTCTGACCCAGAGAGAAGGAGGAGAAAGTTGGGTGGAAGTGACCTAAAAATTGCCACAGAGTTTAAGGAAGGTTCGCCAAGGGTGTTGGGGAATCCTTTGTCCCAGGAATGGTCCCTGCCTTAGGATAGTAAGACTGGGAGCAGCCTATGGAAAGTGTGGCCTCGGGCAAACACAGCAGTCGCAATGGATATCAGGAGCACAGCAGCAGAGGCGCTTGGTCCTTTTATACCACTTACTTTTGAAGGTCTTCAGGACACATCCTCATGGCTGCTCTGCCTTCCAAGTGGCAAATTCTGAGGAGAGTCCCAGAGATGCTTATACCCCTCTATTTTCTACCACACTCCCATGGCAAGGAAATGTTAGCAGCAAATTATCAACAAAAACCCTGGATGGGAATATGTGAATTTTTATAGAACAGTAAAATAACTTCTGCATTGAAAAATTCTTGAATATTTATAGAATGCTTCTTGCTGTGGTTCTAAAGTAATGAGACTTTGGTTTTTAACAAATTTAGCAAACTATCTCCATGTTGTTACTTTGTGGTGTGCTTATTTCTTGTGTAAGTTCTGCCTTGCTCACTTCTGGGAATTGCTTCTGGGGCTGATTTAATAATGTAGTATTTTGGGTTTATGGCCATCTGTACTAGGCCCGAACATGGTATTGCTGAGGCTAAGCAAGGATCTCTTCCCACAAAGCATACACTTTTATAAAAATGATAATAGCAATTAATGTTTGAGTGGTACTCTGTGGTATAAAATGGATAAAACAGTACCTACATCGTAAGGCAGATGTTAATGTCAAATGCATAAAATGACTTTGAAACTCTTTTATAAACTGCAGAGTTCCCAGAGTGTTAATTCGTATGGACCTCAATAATGCTGCAAAGAGATTTGGGTCTAAGTTGTCCTATCTGTAATTTATAGTGATATCATTTTGATCATATTTATTCCCTTGTCCCAATAGGTGGGTTTTTCTTCCTAACTCTTTTTTTAAAGTGACCACTATTCATTGAGGCATCATATATACCAGATAACATAATAGGTACTTTACATAAATAAGATAGCTTTTTCCCCCTTTAAAACAAATCTATGAGGCTGTTATTTTCATTTTACAGATTAGAAACCAGACTCAGAATTGTAAGTTGCCCAAGGCAGTTAGTCACTATGCTATTAGTAAAAGAACCAGACCTCCAGCATCCACACTTTTTGTACTCTGTACGTTAAGTGATTTGCCCAAGATCACACAGTGAGGACAACTTAGAGTCAGATCTCCTAGCTTCACAGTCAGTATTTTCTCGCAGCATGTTGAGACCCATACAAACGGATGGCTTGAGCACTCTGCATTTTATAAAATGGTTTCATGTTCATTGATGCATTTGATGTCCATTCCTGACCTCTATTCCCTTAGATTGTCAAATTTTAAGAAAATGGCAACAGCCAACACAACAATAGCCATTTGGTGTCCATGAATCAAAATAATACCTATTTTTTTGGTCAGGTCAGCAAAAAAATGTATTTTTTGGTGTACCGCAGAATTTTAGTGATTCGTTTTCATGGGCCATGGGATGAAAAGGGTTGAAAATTTCTGGTCTAGCACGATGCTGGTGAAAAACCTCAGGGCCCAGAATGAAATACCATGGAGGTATGTCACGGGGAAGCATGTGGGACCAGCTACTTTGCTTCCTTTTTCGCATTTCATGGAGGCTGTGCCAGACATATTTTGGAAATATTCATGAAGCTTGTTTATTTTAGCCTTAACCTCGGCTGTAGTTCCGAAAGTGCGTTTTCAAAGGACAGCCCCTCTGATCTGAGTTGGGTAGTAGCCAGCTGCCTGGACTGCTTTAAATGAATGGAAGCCACCACCTGGGGTGGAGCACCATCACAAGGAGGAAGCAGACCGCACAGCAGTCCTACCCATATTAATTTGGGCTAGATTTGGTTATGAGTTATACAAAGTCCAAAATTATAGTGACTTATGTAAGATAATGTCTGCTTTTTTCTCTTATGTAAACAAAATCTGAGGGTAAGTAGTCCAGGGCTGGTAGGGGCAGTTCTGCTCCACAAGGCCCTCAGGTGCCCAGGCTTCTTCAAGCTCACCATTCTGCCGCGGCCCTGGCTGTGGCCGTGACCTCATGGGCCCATATGGCAGCATCCCTATTCCAAGCAGCGGGATCAAGGAACGGCCAAATAAAAAGAGAGACAGAAGGATGTACCAGTTATTTCTTAAGGTTTCCAGAAACTGCCACATAACAATCTGATTACATCCCATGTAAGGCCAGAATTTAGACACTTGGCCACACCTGATGACAGGACAGACTGGGCAATTTGATTTTTACTTTGGGTGACTCTATGTCCAGCTAAATATTGTATTACCATGGAAAAAAGCAATGTCTGTTGGAGGAAATGGAGTTCCTGTCACACTCCCCAAATCCTTCATCTTGAATTATTTATTCCTTTTAGTTGCCTTATTGCATTAACTTATTTGCATACTTTTTACAGTAGGGAAGCCATTTTGACAGCTCATTCTAACCAAGTTTGAGTTTCTCTATTTCTGAAAACCACCTGCTTCAAAACCCTCTTTGCACCATCACCTAAAGTGTATTTTGGGAAATTCTAGGAAGTGTTAGGTAAAAGGATCCCACAGTCAAATAAATTTGAGAAACACTGCATTCTGTATGGTGCTTTCTTTGAGGTTCTCTATCCATGCTCACACATGAAAGGTTCTGCTGTAAAGAAATCTGCTCAATATTTTAATCAGTATGTTAAAACTTATTTACCAATAAAAATTCCATTTATAACACCTCATAACACCCTCTGGGAAATGTTCATTAAACAGACCTGGAAGGTTTGGGTGACTGTCAAGGGGAAAGCTAATCCATCATGTATTCTGCCTGCCCCTCCTATATTTTTCCACTTTAATATGAATCTTTGTTTTTTCTTTTCCTGTTCTAGACTGACAGATCCCATTCCCACCACAGAGACTTCCATTGCGCCCCGCCAGAGGCCTAAAGCTGGGCAGACTCAGCCAAACCCAGGAATCCTTCCCATCCAGCCAGCACTGACACCTCGAAAGAGGGCCACGGTTCAGCCCCCACCGCAGGCTGCAGGTCGGTTCCTAGGGTGGTTTGAAACTTGGTATACCTCTTTGTTATCCTGGATAATAGAGAGACCTTGGAATGCCTGATTTGCTTCAGGAATGGAATGTGGAGGCACATAAAAAATCATGGTTTTCCTTGAGGAACTAGAAGTAAGCTGCCATTGAAATTGTATGGTAGGGGGCTGGCAAAAGGGGAGGCCTGTCTTTGAATTCTGCAGGGGATCACCAAGATTACTGAAGCCTGTTGTCTCTGTTTTTTCTTTAGTTCTTGCCCCAATTTTGTAGCTTGCTCCACTCATCCCATATTTACCTCTTTGTTTCATATACTTCTCTTGCCTTTAAAGAACCCAGACGCAGCCCTTTTTTACCCAGAGGAATTGTTTCTTCAATGCTGTCTTTTGAAGTATCTGTCACACCACTCTGTGTTTTGGTATTTTGTTTCTAGTAAGGTGACTGAGTTTAGTTTCACAAAGAGGATTGATCCAAATTATCAAGTAACTGAACTCAGCCATACTTCCCTTACCAATAAACTGCTTTTGGTGAATTTGGTAGTCATTTGCTTACAAGGCATCTAGACTGGGATCATGTAATCTACATATAAAACATCAGTCCTGACCAGCATGATACAGTGGGTTGAAAACTGTTGTGCAAACTGAAAGGTCACCGATTCTATTCCTGGTCAGGGCACATCCTGGCTTGTGGGCCAGGTCGCCGGTTGAGGGTGTATGAGAGGCAACCAATCGATGTTTTTCTCCCTCACTTTCTCCCTCCCTTTCCCTCTCTCTAAAAATAAATTAATAAAATCTTTTTTTGAAAGATCAAAGAATGCTTTTACTCTGCAGCATGCCAACAAGTGCAAAGATTGTGTTTATATACAGTGGCATCAAAGGCTAATTGAATTTGTAGATACTCAGGACTAAAGGACTAATTGACTAAATGGGATGGTGAATAAAGGAAGAGTTTCTGAAGGAGACAAGTATAGAACTTTGTTATTGAACCTTGTTTTGAAAAATATGAAGCACATAGATTAGCAAGAAGGAAGGACCTTCCAGGTACAGACAGTGAGGAGCACATGGACTTTGGGATTATCTGTCCACTTACCACACCCTCTTTCTTACTTTGACAAGAAGGGATGTTGTTTTTGTCTGGAAGAATTTTGAGCCCTTATGTGGAGTTTATTCTCTTTGCAGGATCCAGCAATCAGCCTGGTCTTTTAGCCAGTGTTTCCCAACCAAAAACCCAGCCCCCATCTAGCCAACCTCTACCACAATCGCAGCCCAAGCAGCCACCGGCTCCACCCACCTCACAGCAGACGCCTTCCACTCCTGCCCAGGGTCTGCCCACTCAGGCCCAGGCAACACCCCAGCACCAGCAGCAGCTCTTCCTCAAGCAGCAGCAGCAGCAGCAGCAGCAGCAACAGCAACAGCAGCCGCCACCGCCATCACAGCAGCCAGCAGGCACGTTTTACCAGCAGCAGCAGGCCCAGGCTCAACAGGTAAGGTGGTCATAGTGTGACCTTTGCTTTGAGTATGGGAGCCGTCACTGTGAAAGGCCCACTAAGTGCAGGAATCTGCCTTGGGAAGACAGAGAGCTGTTAACGTTCACATCGCTGCCTCTTCCAAATGCAGGTCCTAGAAGGCTGTGCATAGTGGAGCAATCACTGGATCACTCACCCCTTTCACCTTTCTTCTCAGGCCATGGGGAATTTTTCACCTGACTGAGGAACCTCAGGAAGGGAGTTAATTTTTAAGGACTTTTTTTTTTCATGACATAGCTACAACATACAAAATAACAATAATTTCTTAACAGATATCTAGTAGTGTTTAATCCTTTCTTATGTCTCATGGTGTAAGTTAGATTGTTTGAATCAGGACCCAAACAAAGTCCGTATGTTATATTTAGTTGCTTTTTCTTTCATTATCTTTTCATATTTTCTTCACATTTTTTACTTTGAACATTTTTATTTTATAATGATTAAAATACCTTTTAAGTCCCGTTTTAACCATAAGTACCCTCTCCTTCTTTTCTCTCACTTTCTTTTTTTTTTTAAGTTGGTTCGCTTGTCCTGTAGAATTTCCCACTTTCTGGAGTTGGCTAATGACATCCCTGTAATGACATTTAATATGTTTCTCCATCCCCTATGTAAACTGCTAATTTCCTGAGGCTTGTTCAACATTCCATTCAGTGTTATTGTTCTTTGTTTCTTTGGTTATGTCACATCAGGGACCTATAATGTCTCGCTGTCCTCTCTTCTAATACTATTATGATCAGTCACTGGGTTTGTTGTTGTCCATCTGCTCCAACCATCTGATGTACCTCATCAGCTTAGCCGGCACTGCTGATCATTTCCTAAGCCCATTAATTCATTAGGGATGGCAAAACGGTAGTATTCTAGCATTTCCTTTTTATGTAGGGGCTGGATTTATCTATGAAGGACTTTTTTCATCAACTGTTTGATTACACTGAGGTAATATTTATGCAGAAAAGAAAAGGCAGGAAAAATGCATGATTCTTCTTCTCTGTTTACCAGGTTCAAATGAGTTTCTTCCTAGTATCATCCAAAGGTGAACAATGAGGTTTTTGTTTTAGTATCATTATGAACTCATAGATCCTAACATAACTGATATGTTTCTATACATTGTAGTTTTAAAAATATTGTTTATTTTGATGCTTAAATCATCCCAGCTTTGTCCAGTGAAAGTCTCTTCAAATTGGCTCCTGGGTCCTTTGGTTGCAACTCCAGTAGTCTTCATGGTTTCCTTCCTGTTCAGTAAAACAGGCTGTTCCAGGCTCATTCTGCCCTTAACCTCGAATCAGCCATTTCTCAAAGGAGCTTTGTTTCCTTTTCATGGAAATGGTATTTAGAGACCACAGTCTTGGTACTAGAGATGCTCATTTGCTGATGGGTTGGTTATTGTTTTTAGCCCTTTTCAGTGGGCAGTAATTAGCAAATATATTTTTGCTTTGTTAATAGAATATATACCATAAATTCAAATTTATATTCCAAATTCAGATGTGCAATTATAGGATTTTTGTTTAACTTCTTGGATTGTATATTTGTATTTTTCTAATCTGGAGATCTTGATTCCTGATAACATTAACATAATTACTTAATTGACTTAGAGTTTCAAGATAACAATACTAGTAGGATTACTGAAAATAGTTAAGGACTTTTTTGCCCCTTTTTCTCTTAGAATGTTTAGCACACTATTTTCTGGGGAGTTTGGCTATTAATTTGATACACAGTTTTCTTTGCTTCATTTTGCTTTTGATTTTTAGTTATTACTTTTTTAAATTTTGGCTTAATTTTGTTTTGCGAAAGTGTAAAATATTTACATAGTTTTAAAGTTAAATCTGTAAAATTCTATCCCCTCCATCCCCATAGCTAGAGGTAGTCCTCATTCCTATTTATAACTGGAGATTGTTCCCTTCTGAAGATGTATAGGATTGTTTATTCCACCATCCCCTGTTGATAGACATTTGGTTTTTTCCAGCATTTTACAGTTATAAATAGGCAGCTATTTACGGTCATTTGCTTCTTTGCTAACCCTTTAACTTTATTCCAGTGGACAAACAATATCCTCTCAGTTAGCTCAGTTACTAAGTAACACTGTTTAGGATGTTCAAAGACAACATCTTGAGTTTTGTTCATCAGTAGACCCTTGTTATAGCTCTAGTTGTGTGCCCAGCACATAGTCCTTAGTGAGGAGTAGAGAGACATAAAAGAAATTTCCCCATTTTTAGGATGTTTACAAGAGAATATAACTTGACACAATTCATTACCAGTATAAAATAAAATGTCACTAAGTGTAGTAATCTGAGTATTTTGAATGTTTAAAGATGGAGAGTTAATAAAGTAGAGCTATTGGTAAATAATTTTCAGAAAGAGATGACTTTAATAGTTGGGTTAACATTTAAGTTATTCTTTTCAGTGTCGTCATTCCTTCACCCTGTTCTTCTAGGGAAGAATTTTAATCTTGGCTACTGCTGGATCCCTTTATAAAAAGAATTACTTCTGTGATTGGGAGGTCATTTATTAGCTTCTGTTACACTCCAGCATATGGAATCACAGATGTGTAATGGGATGGACACCCTCAGGCGAGGCATAGAAAGCCACCTGGAGGCCAGTCTGTGGTACAAGAGGCAGCATAGTGCAGTGGATGGAGCCTGGCAGTGTCAGGTGCTGCTGTGTTTGTTTTAATGTCCTTGGGTTCCCCTCATGAGTTTCAGGCCAAGCTGAAAGATGTCTGCCTTACTTTGCCTTTGGCTTCAGCATTGGTGTTAGTTGTTACTGAAACATTCAGAATATTACTCTGAGACAGGCTTTTATTTACCTCCTCATTTCTTGCCCCTTTCCTCCTGCTCAGTTTCAGGCAGTACACCCAGCAACTCAGCAGCCAGCAGTTGCCCAGTTCCCTGTGGTGTCTCAAGGAAGCTCTCAACAGCAGCTGATACAGAACTTCTACCAGCAGCAGCAGCAGCAGCAGCAGCAGCAGCAGCAGCTCGTCACAACCCTGCATCCACAGCAGCTGCTGACTCAGCAGGCCGCCTTGCAGCAGAAGCCCGCTGCGGGAGCAGTACAGCAGCCCCAGGCACAGCCGGCCGCAGCCCCACAGCCATCCCCTGCTCAGGAGCCCGCGGTAAGAATTAGCCAGGGCTCAGAGTGCAAAAGAAGAGGAACATGCGGTGAGGGCTTGAGAAAGAGACTGTAGCAGTTGGTGTGATGACCTCTGGATGAGGGCTAGGCTGATCCCCCAATCCTTGTGGTTAAATATTTGATCTTTTCTTGATATGCCCAATAACGGGATGAGGTATTCTTCTGTTGAGGCGGTAGAGGTTTTTAAAAAATGATTCTAGGCTATTGATGAAGATGAACATTTTTATTTGTTACTTTGAAATTAGGAAAGAGCTGTTCATTGTCTCTTGTGTTGAGCAGTCAAAGACCTAGGGTAGGTTTGAAATTACTCCCTTTCCTTTCTTCAAGGCACAGTTTGACTATTGTGGCCGTTTCTGTCTTTGGAGATTCACGTGAGCCACCACATTTACCCTGAGTTCTGACAGTGTTTCATTTACTCTTTGTCTTGGATGGTATTACTGGCATCTCAGTTAAGTATTTCATACAGCGCCCTTCAAGAGGGCCTGACTGCTTGGGACCGTTTGCCATGGCCTAATCCCACTGAACACCACAGTATCCAGTTAGGTATTGCTTGAGCCATCTTGTCAGTTTAGAAATTGGGCATGTCCACTTTTAGATAATGGCTGAGTAGAGCATCAGAATCCCTACATCCTCTTCTCACTGACCTCAACTGTTTCAGCATCTTCGGGCATGTTGTGCTTTGGCCATAATTCTGTCTCACAGTTTTCTGAGGGATGGTGATAGATCATTTTATAGTGATAGAAGAAAACATTTTCCATACTCACCCAGTGGAATATCACAGCTACTGTCTTATTCCTAGGCAAGTCCAACTACTAGATGAACAAAGGAAAAGTAGGAAACCATCTTTTTGAGGATTGATTTCTAATAGAGTTTTGTCACCCATCATAACCCAGAAAAGCTACATTCCTTCAAAAGAAAGCAGTGCCGTAAATAGATTTTCTTCTTTAAGTCTCAGCTAAGTGTGTGTTCAGTGTCTTTACAGCTTGGTTTCTGAAATTGCTCAGTCTTCCTGCAGGCGTGAGATAGATAGCTACTCTCTGTTTTTAAGAAGAGATGAAGTCCCTCTCGTTAAGTGATAAAAAGCCTTTAAAAAATGATTGTATGATGTAGCTAGTTGAGATCTTAATTACCTCGTCCAGTCCCCTCATTTTATGGAATTGAAAACTGAGTCATAGCCTAGAAAGTCATTACCCAAGACACACAGACTGATAGTAGCAGAGCTGGACAAGAAGAGTCCTGATCTGCGTTCAGGATGATAATAATAGCAGGTGCTCATCCAGGGAGATGAAATGATCTACTGCCACTGACCACACTTCTTATGGAGTTCTCTCTGCTATCCCTGGACAAAAGTACCCACTCTCTTGGGAATGAACCTTCTCCATGTTCTTTGGATGAAAAAATGCTTTGAGCACTTTGCTCATTGTAGTTTGTTAAGAGGATGGAGAGGGAACTGAGAAGGACATGCCCGTGCCAGAGGCCAGAGAGCTTCCCACCTCTGACCATCTTTTTCTCCAATGACCCTTGACAGGACTTACCTAGAGAAGTAAGTGAATTAATGTAAAGTGTACACTACAGCCGTCTTAAAACAATAATCTGCAAAGGGAAATGGCCATATACAATAGATGTTTATGGTCGCCTTATTAATAATAAGAATGAAAGCAACCTAAATACTTCAGGAACCTGACTGCAGCCATTAGAAGTCATGGTTATAGCCCTGGCCTGTGTGCCTCAGTGGGTTGGACGCCATCCCACAAAGCCAAAGGTTGCCGGTTGATTCCCAGTCAGAGCATGAGAGGCAATGGGTTGATATTTCTCTCTGACATTGATGTTTCTCTTCCTGTCTTCCTCCCTTCCTTCCCGTCTCTCTAAAAACAAAGAAAATATTTTTTTAAAAATCATAGTTATAAAGTCTGTACAATAGTATTGAAATGCTCATAAGATAATGTTGAGGTGTGAAATTATGGAAACAGTATGTACTTGAAGAGAAACTTAATATACGATGCAAAAGAGGTAAGAACAGTTGTATTAGAGTAGTGAAATGGAAGTCTGGGTGATTTTATTCTCTTTGTATCTATATTGTTGAATTTCTTGATGTGATTGTACTACTTTTATAATTATGTATTTTGTTTTTTAAGCAAATACTTAGTAAAATGAACATCTGAGTCTGCCTCGCCTCTCCTCCCTCTGTGATCTGTTTCTCCCTTCTCCCCCTTCCTAATTCTGTCTTTGGATGAGGAGGCATCATAGTGCAGAAAAGAAAGTCCTGAATTGCAGTTAAGAAACAGATTCTGTCCTCAATTGATCCTGTGACCCGAGTGAGCACTAAGACTCTGGGGGCCTTGATCTCATCTCCTCTAAAGCGAATCTTTTCTTCGAGAATCTCTCTTCTCTAAAGTCCCTTTCAACTCTCACATTTTTATACTCTAAATGCAAATAAAACTATCCACCAGACAGGGTTGTTGTGAGGAGTAGTGAACAGGTTGGAGCCAGTTTGTATTAGTAGATTGCTATGTTAGGGGACGATGTCCTCATGGTAGAAACACCTGTATTCTCAGGGTGCTGAGTGTAGATACCTCTTCTAGGAAAGAGGAGGAGAAATATTCTCCAGGTAGTCTGGACTCTTCAAATTAGAGACTCAACAGTTAAGTAACCTTTTCAGACTTCAAGAAATGTGCAAATCTAGTTCTGTCCTTACAGCTTTTCTGGTCCCTATGGTTACTGGCTTTTGGCTGGCTCCTCCAATCCTGGACCCACAAAGGAAGTTGTGAAGCTGGAGCTCTGGTCAGTCGCTTTACACTCTAAACATAGTTTGACTGATGCTGTAACCTTACATTGTATTATTCAACCTATTGGTGAAGGGACTGTGTACTCACACATGCATGTAGTGTGCCTCAACAAAATTCAAAGTCTGAGTCAGTGTAAGGACAGAAAATCTCAGGTTGTCAGCATCCAGGCCCAAGTTGCTATGCATTCTGGTTTCCTTAATCTCTCTCAGGGACTACCCTTGTAGACACAGAATGTGGGAACTGAGCTGCAGCATGGAGAGACAGCTTTAATCAGAGATGAGAGGCTGGAGGGAAGGGATAAGTATCTGAGGCACTTAATGTTCTAAGTCATTTTATCTCAGATTGATAAAATTAAGGAAAAGTGTTAGATGGACTTCTTAACATTTTTTTGCTCATTTTCTTGATACAACATTTTGTAGATCGTGACTTATGCTTCAAGACTAACCATGTGGCGACAAAGATGTTCCCCCTGTTTTTTTCTGTGGTGACACTTTGTCCTGTCTTCTGAATATGGCTCACATCTCAAGGGTTCTTGTGCTATTAGCTCAATTACCAAGGACATTTTTTTACATTTATTTTATTTTTACTTTTTTTTTAATTTTTCAATTATAATTGACATTCAATAATCATCAAGGGCTTTTAAATTTTTTCTTCCTTCTTCTTATATTCCCTTTCTGGTTCTTTGATGCCATTTCCAAATCAATGGTTAGAACAGGTTAATCCCACTGCCCTAGTGCTGTTCGTTTTCTCACGTGTTGCTGCAGACATAAAATATTATAGACCCATCCTATCAATGAAATAAAGAGTATTGACAACAATAACAATGAAAAACACTTCCATTTATTAATCACAGTGGAATTCTACCTAACTTATTCCAAACTAGCAGTCTGAGCTATGTCAGAGAGTCAGTTTTCTCTTAGCAGAAATTATTCAGCTCAAATGTATTTTAGCTGAAGGTTTGGCTTCATTGACTTCTGTGATTGTAGAATACTTAAAGCCTGTCATTTGAAGACATTCTGAACAAGTTCCTGTGTGATCCCAGAGGCAGAAAGTGGTTCTTTAGGATGTGTTCTAGATTTTGAGAGGTAGGAATAGCTTCTGTAGTCTTAGGTTATGGGCTAAATTGCATATGGTTACCCTATGTATTGTTGCTGATGAAGATCAAAATTTACAAAGGGGGACCAAAAACCCCGAAATTATCTGCTGGAGAGCAGACCCCTTGTAGTGCGGACACCCCTGCTAGGTGAGTGTTCTAGGAACCCATCTGTACCAGTGTGTCAGCTGGCATTGTTGTGAGAGGCTGTATTCAGCTTCAGTGAATTGTTGTTTTTTTTTAAGACTCTTTAAGAGCCTTTGCCCATTTCATGATGGGTGATTTACCAGCATGCCTGCCCACACCACGCTGTATGATCAGCAGTTTTTGATCAAAAACAGCATGACCCCCATGCCCACCCTCCCTATTCACCCAGTCTCACCCCGAGCAATGATTTTTTTGTTTCCCCGGATGAAAAACGTCCTCAAAGGAGAAAGTTTTGCTGATATGGATGAGATGAAACAAAACAACATCAGAAGCACTAAAAGACATCAAAATTGACAAGTTCAAAAAATGTTTGGAGCAGTTGAAAAAATGTCTCTATAGGTGTATTGTATAAAATGGAGAGTACTTTTAAGGTGGCTGAAGTTTAAACATGTAAAAATAAATGCACACATTTTTATAAATAAATTCTGGGTTTTTGGGGGTGTTCCCCTTCGTACATGTAAGTACCAGATAAATGCTATGTTGGTATCAGTCCCAAACTTGCTGTTCAGGTTGTCAAAGCCTAGTTGGTTTGTTTTCTTTCTGGGTGTTATTGAAAAACTCAGCCATTTGAGTTCTATGTCAGTTCTCCTGTGGCATTTTTGGTTATGTTTATCTGTTTATTTGTTTTTCCTTTTGCCTTTGTTTTGGAACATTTTTCGTATCTCTTCCTAGCAGATTCAAGCCCCAGTAAGACAACAGCCAACAGTTCAGACAACGCCACCTCCTGCCGTCCAAGGACAGAAACTTGGATCTCTCACTCCTCCATCATCCCCCAAGACCCAACGTGCTGGACACAGGCGGATTCTCAGTGATGTAACCCACAGTGCAGTCTTCGGGGTCCCTGCCAGCAAATCAACCCAGCTGCTCCAGGCAGCTGCAGCTGAGGCCAGTCTCAATAAGTCCAAGTATGTGATGCTTCTCCTTTATTCTTCTTACTTTGTGGGCAAAGTCTGCCGTGGGTTATTACTGTGTATTTCTTTGCATATGTATGTAGATTTGTATAGATTTATATGCATTGGTGTGCTTCTGTGTTTAATAAGAAACTGACTTTTCCTATAATTCATAAACCATACTGATCTTAAGAAATAATTTCCTACTTGCCACACTGTTTCCATTTTTTTTTTTTCATTTATTCTGTGCTTTACACAGTTTTTTCCTAAATTCTTGATCTGACCAAGTTTTCATGCTGAAAATCTTTCATTGGTTCCCCATAGCCTGTTGGATAATATCCGAACTCATTACCAAGGGGACTTGGTTAATAGACCAAGGCTTGTTGTATCACATTGGTGGACTTGTCATTCTCTATCTTCACGAGTGCTTTGTTCTTCCTATCCTGTCTCACTTAACTACACTATCCTCCTTGTCCACCAAGGAAATGCTCATTTATTCATCAAGATCCATGCCAGAGATTATCTTTTCTTTGACCCTTCCTCTGGTGTCATTTATAATTTTGCTGTGCATGTATCACATTGCATTATCATTATTTATGCGTATGTCTATATGACTGTGTCTAGCTGACCTAGCCTTAGAGTTCCTCCAAGATAAGGGTTATGTCTTAATCAGCCCTGTAATTCCAGTGACTGGCTCTGTGCCTGAACCAAGTAGATTGCAATGAGTGATTGTGGAGTAAATGCAATTTCAGGCCCTCAGCTCTCTTGGAACCATGCACTCTAAGTTAAAAATTTTTTAACTCCTTAGCTAAATTGTAAAAGGCATCGAAAGACTTAGAATAAAATTAGTTGATGATACTTAGAAGCACAAAATAGTGGTAAGTGTCTTTATTTCTCTTTAACTGTGGTGGTGACCACTGATGGTGGCTCTTGGTTCTATACATGCTGATCTGACAGATGGAAGGCAGCTTTAACAGGCATCTGTTGCAGACCTTCTGGATGTGTTATTGTGGGTTACAGTGGGTACCATAAGATGCACAAGCCTAAGAATAGGTTGCTTTGGGATCTTGAATTGAAAGGATTTGCAGACGAAGCCAAAAATCTAAGCAAGAGATTAAAGAAGTGGTGGGAGATAGTGAATCAGGAAGGAAATGGAGACATTTATTTTACACAGTGGAACAGGGTCTGTGGAAACTGCCCACTTGCTGTGGAAAGCCCTTTTAGGAAACCACTGTGGAAAATAATGGTTTGATTCAGAAGAGAATTTGATCTTGAAACAAAGTTAAAATAAGTTGACCCTTTTCAACTTTTACCTGTTTTTTGTTTGTTTTTTTTTCGTCGGGGTGGGAACATACCTAGGTCTGCAACCACCACTCCATCAGGTTCTCCTCGGACCTCCCAGCAAAACGTTTATAATCCTTCAGAAGGTTCTACGTGGAATCCCTTTGATGATGACAATTTCTCCAAACTCACAGCTGAAGAACTACTAAACAAGGACTTTGCCAAACTGGGGGAAGGTGAGTAATTGGTGTCTCTGTGATCCTTGAACCTTAACTCCACGGGGGCATGCAGGTAAAAATGTAGGCTTGAGTCCCTCAAAGGTTTGATTGATTATGTATGTATGTATGTATTTATTTTTTTAATTTAAGTATAGTTGGTATACAATCTTGTAATGGCTATATTAGTTTCAGGTGTACAATATAGTGATTTGACATTTTTATACCTTACAATGTGATTTTATACCTTACATTCAGTTTGTATTTTTACCAGAGCATTGAAGTCTTCTTGGTGGGAGCAAGTCTTAGGTGGGAGCAAGTCTTAGGTGGGAGCAAGGAGAAGGGGACTTTCAGGAAAGATTGGGCAATATAGATTGGGATGAGAGTGTCAAGCATGGTCACTTCTTATAGGAATGTGATGGTTCCCTTGTCCTAAGTGGGTGTTTTGTCCCAGAAAGTTATATCTGCCTACCCCTGAGAGTGTGCCCTCACACAGAGGCTGAATAGAAAATTCTGCAATATGATATAGTTTGAAAAGGAGTGCCTCAGTGTAGACAAGAGCACAAGGTAAAGGAATGATCAGAACTGAGAGAATTTTGACCAAACTTTTTAGCTTTAACTATTATTTTATAGATGTCTTTTAAAAAATTGTATTGCCTTCTTGACCTTTCAAACAGAAGATAAGGCATAGAATTTAACTTTCTTTGATGACCTGCCAAGTTATTTCATTATTATATGTGCCCCTTATTGTCTAGTCTATAAAAGAAATACCTTTCGGACTAATGAAAATTGTAGTATTTTTGCACTCCATTAGGTGACCTGCCCAAGTTTTTTTAATCCTTGTGTCTATTTTTAATAATTTCCTGCCTTGGCTAATGTTGGCTTTCACGTTAAGCTGCTGTTACCGTGCCTCTCCCTCATGGCCTCTCCCTGCTGCCATCTCCACCGCTCCCTCTTCTCATTTGCCCCCCTAAACTGCTTCCAACGTGGAAAACAGATTATCAGGCTCATTATGTAGAAATAAATAGACCAAGTGAGGGCTGGAGGCATTCTGCTGTGAGTAATTTGCTTCAGTTTTGGAGCATTGGCTTTAGCCACCTCTTTTGCTGTTATTTATGTATTTTTTAGTTTGGTAGAATACATATAACACAGAAATTACCATCTTAACCATTTTTAAGTGTACAGTTCAGTAGTGTTAATTATGTTTACATTGTAGTTCAGCCAGTCTTCGGAACTCTTTTCCTCTTGCAAAACTGATGTGCTCTCTTTTTTGATTCTGAAAACGTCCTTCATTTCTCAGCTGTTCTCTGTTATTGCAGTGACTCCTCAAGGACTTCTGAATGGCTGAGGTGTCACCATAATGCAGTGAGAAAGGAGTCATGTCTAAAAGTCAGGTCAGAGAGTGCCCTGGGGATTTGTCATGGAATTCTGCTGGAATGAACTGAGTGGTGTTTTGTCCTTCCAGGCAAACATCCTGAGAAGCTTGGAGGCTCAGCTGAGAGTTTGATCCCAGGCTTTCAACCAACCCAAAGTGACGCTTTTGCCAGCTCCTCATTTTCTGCTGGAACCGGTTAGTATGGGAAACACCTGAAACACAAACTCACTGTAGTCACCTTCACACTGTTCCCCACTCCACAGATACCTCTAGCGTGCCTTGGGCTCCAAGTCCTTGTGGTAGCTTGTATTTTCCTTTGTTCAAAAGATTTCCAATTAAAAAAGGTAGGGGTTAAAAAAGACCTAGAATCACTTTCAATTAAAATAACAGGGTAATTTGGCAGTAATATATAAGATTTGTTCTATCTGCTCATGGACATGTTTTAAGCAAATACTTCTAAATTTGAGGAGTATCACGCTATTAATCTCTTGTAATTGCTTAGGTTCTCTGGAATGACTTGAAAAATTGGAAGCATTAGATGTTCTATCCTATATCTGAGAGTGCTAAGCTGCGGATTTTTTTGTGTGTGTGTGTGTCCATACTTACAGGGAAAGTAGGTATCTTTTTAAATGGGACTTTTTAAAAGTTAGATAAACAATAATAAAAAATGAGTTTTCCTCTTTATAAATAAAAATTATATGTATTTATTATATAAAAGTTAGCAATTTATAGAAAAGCATAGAGGAGAAAATTAAAATCCCCATGATCTCACCACCAAGAAATTAGCACAGGGATATTACATTGATGACTCTTAGTAGCATTTAACCTTTTTAGGGTCACAGGCAGATATCTTTGTGAATCTAATGAAACTTACAGATCTTCTCCCTCATGAAGATAAAGTGACCATAACTTTGTACAGTTTTGGACCTCAGCTTAAAACTCTAATGTATATCTTTATAATCATATTTTAAAATTTATTTCATGTAATAAGTCTGGCATGTTTCCCCCACATTATTAGAGAAACTCCTAAAAAAATATAACTTAAAATACCTGCATTAAATTTTTATATGGATATGTCTTAATGTATTTAAGTACCTCTTTTTAAACATCATTTTGATGTTAGTATTTTATTGTTATAAATTCCTCAACAACTGATGTGAGGTTTTGAATATATTTTTAGGAAATGGAATTTGATATACTTCTAAAATTGATCTTTTAAATTATATTGATTAATTTCTGCTTTGAACTTTATACATTCTTTCTTCTTGCTTTCTTTAGGTGTGTTACTAGTTTTTCTAACATCATAAATTTATTTCTGGTTAGAACTTTGGCTGTCATTCCATTTGATATGTAGTGTTCTCTTATTCTCATTTTGTGTGTGTTTTTTAATTGCAGTCTTGATTTATTCTTTACCCAAGAGTTGCTTCACATATATTTTAACTGCATTGTGAGGGCATGGCGAATGCAGTTTTTGCTTTGAGGTATTATGGAGGGACTTTTTCTGTCTTCTAGTTTGTTATTCATTTTACAAATATTCTTTGGGAATTAGTGGCTTTCTATGTCAATAAATACTAATCTACAACATGATTCTTAATAGAATAGTAACATTGTATTTAATATCTCCTTTGACAAATATTTAGGTTATCACTGATTTTTCACCATATAAACATTCTTGAAGCTAAATTTTTGTTTATATCCTTCACAATTTAACATCTAGGACATTATTTGATAAATCAAAAGATATTATATTTTAAGGCTTTTGGTACATATATCCAAATTGCTCTTCAAGAATGCTATGCAAATTTTATTTCAATCAGTAATGAATGGTAGGCCCTGGCTGGGTGGCTCAGTTAGTTGGAGCGTCATCCCACCAAAAGGTTGTGGATTTCATCCTGGTCAGGGCATATGCCTAGGCTGTAGGTTCAATCCCCTGTCAGGGTGCTTATGGAAGGCAATCGATTGATGTTTCTCTCTCTCTCTCCCTTCCTCTCTGTCTAAAATCAATAAATATCTCCTCCAGTGAGGTTTGTTTGTTTGTTTGTTTTTAATAGTGAATGTTAGTAATTCTCCATTTCCCCACCCAGCTCAGCTCAGAGATTGTGGACAGAGGACATTGTTTACTGGTCATTTTTATTTCTTTGGCGATTTGTATTGTTCAGGTCCCTTGCATTTTTCAATGTTTTGTGTTCATTTTGCTCTTACTAATTAGTAGGAACTCATCATCTATCATATTATAAACATTTTTCCCAGTTTGTCAGTTGCCCTGCAGGAGTATTATCTCATTTGACCCTCTCAGCAATGCTTTGAGGTTGGTAGATCACCCTTGCGTCAGTTACAGTTGTGTAAGTGAGCACAGGCTTGTCCTTTCTTCCAGGATCACATAGCTAGTAAGTGGCAGAGCTGGGACACCCACCCTCTGGTTCCAGAACTCCCTCTTTCAGGTCTTCTGCCAATTAATGATGCACATATAGTCATATTTTCCTAGAAAAGTGTCTACAGTTTTAAAAATTTTTTAATAATATACAATTATAATACTTTCTTTATGTATCTATTTTAATTGTATGTATTTGAGTTTCTCTTTCTTAGTAACTCTATGTCGAGATTTGCTGTTTTCATATCTTTCAAAGACAACTTTTAGATTGATAAAATTTACTATTTTTCTGTCTTCTAATTCTTTAACTTTTGCTTTTATCTTCTTGACTATATTTTCCTGTTTTTCTTAGATTTGCTCTGTCAATATCAAGAGGAACACATAGTGAAATTTTTAAAATTCTTTTTAAAAAAATAATGCAAGTATTTAGAATTTTTCTCCCAGTGTAACAGTGATTTTCAACCAGCATGAGAGGGGAGGGGAGGTTAATTATAATATAACCTCCAGGAATAAATGTTTCACGTATATCCCAGTATTCTCTTTACTCCATCTCCCCTTATTTGCTCACTCCACCCAAACCTTTGAGGAGTGCACTGCTTATTGGGAGTGCTTTTAACAGATGTGTGTTTACCTCATAAGAAAAAAACTTAAATTTTAATTATATCCCATAAGTCCTCATATTATGTTCTCATTATTATTAATATTTTGGAATAAGCATTGGAGTTTATGAAGGTATGCTTTTAAAAATTAAATAGTTAAATTTTTGTGTGTTATTTTTCATTTTTAGCTTTATTGTCTAGTTTATATAATCTTTAAATTTATTGACACTTTGGTCTGGTTTAAAGTGCTTAAAGTTTGACATGCCAAATAGATGACTAAATGTACCAAACGTATCAAGAAAGCATAGGCTGTTGTCCTTGAGATAGAACATCACAATGATGACCAACTACAGTACTGAGTACGATCTGATTTCCCCAGAAAGGGTAGAATAAGCTCTAGAAGAGTCTTCTTTGCTGCTGAATCCCAGCATTTAGTACAGTGTTTAACTCAGCACAGATTTGTTGAATAAATGAAAGGGATTGCTTTTTGCCAAAGGATAGAAGCATGAATTCACCATTTTTAATAAGATTTTATTTGTTTATTTTTAGAGAAAGAGGTAGGAAAGGAGAAAGATAGGGAGAGAACATCAGTGTGTAAGAGAATATTGATCACTTGCCTCTCCCACGTCCCTCAGCCCGGGACCAGGTCCGCAACCCAGGCACGTGCCATGACTGGGGATCGAACCAGCAACCCTTTGGTTCATAGGCCGACACTCAGTCCACTGAGCCACACCAGCCAGGGCCATTTTCTACAAGTTTTCTAATCAAGCTCAGACTGGTCCTGATTTTAAACCTTCTGACTGACCAAGGGAGGAATAATCAGGAAATGTGGTTATGAGTTGTGGAGGGTGGCACCAGGGTTGTTTTAAACATTTTCATGGTAAAAGCTGCAAAAATATTGATGAAATATGTCCCTACGTTAGAGACAGATGTTTAAAAGTTGACATTGTATCTCTTTATTTAAAATATTTTTCTGTTGCAAAGTTATTACATACATTCACTTGTGAAATTTTGGAAAAGTAACTGAAAGCTGAAAGAAGCAAGATAAAAGAACTTGTGACTCCACTTTGAGAGGAAAGCATTGCTGACATTTTACAATATTTATGTCCATAGTTTTATTTCTGCATATGCACTTTTTTCAGAAATGAATTATACTATATATTTAGCTTTATAATTCTTTAAAATATATTTCATTCTGTCTCATTTAAAAATATTTCAGAGACTTAAGAGCAGTGATTGTACCTTTCTCTTCCTTCATCTGCCTTTAAGGAAGCTTAGTGAAGAAAACCCCCTGTAATAACATTCTCTAAATGACAAAATTACAGAGATTGAGATCAGATTTGTGGATTCCATGGTATAGAGACAGGAATAAGGAGTGGTTGTGACTCCAGAGAAGTACAACGAGGGCGTCCTTTTGTTGGATACAATGGTTCTGTATTATTGTGGTGATGCTTATGCTAGTCTATGCATGGGATCCAATTGCTAGCAATTATATATGCTAGAGAAACGAGTGCATGCAAAAACTGAGCAAAGTCTAGTTGACATCAGTATACCAGTGTCAATGCTACTGTACTATCCTTGTAGATCCACCATGGAGAGAAAGCTATTTGAAGGTTTCACAGGATTCAATGTATAGCCGCTTCCTAGGATTTCATAATTATTTGAAAATAAAAAGTATTTTTTAATGTGTTTAAATTATTTATTTATTTATTTTTAGAGGGGAAGGAAATGAGAAAGAGAGGGAGAGAAACACCAATGTGTGGTTGCCTCTTACGCGCCCTCCACTGGAGACCTGGCCTGCCTCCCAGGCATGTGATCTGACTTGAAAATTGAACTGGCGACCCTTTGGTTCGCAGGCTGGTACTCAATCCACTGAGCCAGACCAGCCAGGGCTGAAAATAAAAACTATTTTTAAAATCCACTTTATAGAAGGCAAAATGAAATTTTACTTAATGAACAAACTGAGTATTAAAATGCAACGTAAAGAATGGTAGAGTAGAAACAAGAAACCTGGATTATGATCCTGGGTCTGCTTGTGGGCCTTTGGCTAATATCTTGAACTTTGAAGCTTTATTTTATTTTCTAAAAAATAAGAAAATTGTGCTAGAAATTCTTAAGATCCCTTCAAACTCTGATATCCCATAGAGTACATAGATTTCTGTAAATCTGTAAGTTTAGCAAATATAAAATGAATGTTAATAGCATGTTAGATGGAGTCCAGGGGTTAGGGGTTGTCTAACCTTGCAGAAGGCAAGAAATCTATTTGTCTTTTCCTGTCTGTCTGCCTAGCACTATACTAGACATTCGGTGATACAACAAGCTCAAGAGAGTAATGGGTACATAGGAAACACCTATATATGTGTCAGATTGCAAAATAGGCAATGTTTGTTTACATGCCAAAATGTGTAATATGGACAGTAATTGCTATAGGAATTCTGAAAGAGGTCACCAAGGCCTTCTACTCAGGGAAGAAGTGGAATTTCAGGTGTATGAATATCCTAGTTTTATTATTAATTACATCTTAGAGTATGTTGTAAGGACCAGATTATATATCTCATGACATTTTGCCATTACACTGGGTTATATCCACTCATCCCTCTTTATTCTACCTCTGAGTTTAGAGTTTTTCTGTAATTTGAGCTGTTGGGTTAATAGATGGTAAATTCATCTAGATTTACTTGCTATTTTCTGCTTCTCTCTCTCTCTTTCTCTTTTTTCTTTCCTTGACCCTTCCTTCCCCTCCAACCAACTCCAGCTGAAAAAAGGAAGGGTGGGCAGACTGTGGATTCTAGCCTCCCACTTCTCAGCGTATCTGATCCTTTCATTCCTCTTCAAGTACCTGATGCACCAGGTAGGTAAATAGAACTGATCTGAGGTTAACCAGCTTGATGCTTATTTCCCAGGGACTCTTGAGAGCTGTTTTAAACACTCCATGAAAAAGATCTGAGTTCCATATTAGCCAATATGATTATAACAATACTGGGGTGGGGGGGATCTATTAGCATGTGATAGAAGGAACAAAATGCAAATAGTGGTTACAGTATGATGATTAGATAATGGGTGACTTCCTGTCGAGTTTCCATTTTCCTGTAATATACTTTTATTTTTATAATATAACAATGCATAATAAAAGCTGATAGTAATTGTGAGTCAGGAGACCTGGGTTCCCTTCTTGGCTCTTTCACTACCTGAAAACTTCCTGAGCTTGACTCTTCGTCAGTGGAGTATGTTGGATTGCATGAATTTGAACATCCCTTTAGGTCTTCCATATCCTGATTTTTAAGTAAGCAGTCCAAAAAGGTAAGAAATGGTTAGTGTGTTCTAATTTAAACAGCTCTTAAAACATAATTTGATGCTTTCCATTTGAAGTTTCTGAACGCCAAAGGTTTCTTTTCCTGCTTTCGCCCCCATCCTTTTGGGGGGAGAAGGAGCATGATGTAAGGAAGAGATGCTGCTTTTCTCATCTCTATTAATTAGTCTCTTTGAAAAAGCAAATAGAGCAAGCTCCTTAGGAGCATCTGGTGGAGATTTTGCTTCTGATAGTTTTCCTTTTGTCCTGTTTTTACCCCTGCTGATTCTTGGTCTTAAACTGATGGGATCTGCTTGGATTTTCTTGTTTCCCAAAATGTTAAAGGTACTTGATTGATTGCCTCAAGATTGGAAGTGATTGTGACATTCATACCCTCTTCCTACTCAGACAGACTGTACCTAGGATACTAAGACAGTTTTTATTTCTTTAGGCAATTTGTTGACCCTTCTAAAGAGAAAGCAGAAACCTGTCTTGATCAGGTAGTATTGTGTAACATTATACCTGGATATAGGTTAAAAATATCTAAAACCACTGAAGAATGATTCAATAAAGGGTTGTTAAAGAAAAGAGAAGAAAGTAATCAAATCTCTCAGTACCTAGACAGGCCAGTTTCATGCAGAAGGCTGGAAAAGTATGGGCTACAAACTCAAGCTGGGTCCCACTGAACTCTTTCTTCTCCCTGCTGTGGCTGTTAATGAGATCAGACAAGAAAAGGGGATTCTTGAGGAATTCTTCCTTTGGCACCCCTTCAGGTTTTCTTGCATTGCTCTTACCTAGGTAGCCCATGGGCTGTGGAAGCTGGAAGGGTGGTGCACAAGCCAGAGGATGAAGGCCCATAAGCAAGCAGCTGTCCTATGCAGCTGTCACAGGAGCCCTCTGGATTAAGGGTGAGGGGCCAGGCAGGTGCATCAGGTGGCTCCAGGTGGTAGAGATGAATTTTGAAGGGCTGCGAAGGTGAGCCTGGGGGCCACTAGAGCCGGCTGGCTGCAATCCTTGCCTTCTTACTGTCTTTCCTGTCTTCTGATTCTCCGTATTTCTCTCATTCTGGTGGACTCCAGCTGAAGTGTTACTGGTATATATTTTAATATTTTAATAACGATTAAGTCATGACCCCCCCACCTCGGGTTTTAATGGAAAACCTATTAAAATAAATGGAACATTCAGATAGAGAATTCCAGGAGTGTCTTACTTGTTTTCTGATCCATCAGACCAAGCTCATCTGTTGAAAAGATACATCAGACATATCACTGCTTTGCGCTCCAGTGAATTCTTATATCACTGAGCGTAAAATCCAGATTTATTACCATAACCTGCAAGGCCCTAACTAATCTGGCCCTTGGCAACTCCTCTAACCTCAGCTCCTAGCATTCTCCCTGTCAGCTTTTCCTTTGGTAGACTGAGCTTTTCCCCCCTCAGGGCCTTTGCACTTGTTGGTGCTCTGCCTAGAAAGCTCTTCCTGCAGGCCTGTTCCTTCTGTCATTCAACACTGAGGTCTCAGCTTAAATACTCTCTTCTCAGAAAAGCCTGTCTTGGTCCCACAGGCACTTTTGTCACACCCCCTGGCTTTTTTTCTTCATAGTATTTATCCTGACATTGTCTGTTTTCATTTGTTCATTGACTTTCTTCACAAAAATGTCAGTGTCCTGAGGGAGGGACTTTGCTGTCTTTATTCATCACTGTGTTGCCAGTACTGAGAGCACTGCCAGGGAGTCAGCACTCAATGAATATTTGCAGATTGGGTGAATGAATGAGGTAAAACCTGACACTAAGAGGCTTTTGGTGGCTACACTACTTGCCATTTCTGTCCCAAGCTCCCAAACACCAGGCTGCTGGCTTCATAGCCTTCCATCTATGCCTCTGCCAAGCCCCAGCCAGGCTTCCCACCCGTTCTTGTAGAGTGTGTAAACAAAGGCTCAGCCCGCGGTGTCAGGGAGCTGCCACACCCCAGGATGAATACAGTAGCTACGCTCAGCAGGTCACTCTGCTCCAGCCTCTCCAGCCTCTCATGGTACCCTTCAGAATTTGGGCTAAGCACATATGTTACTACTGTGTCTTTGATTATTTTATTTCTTTTGATGTTCAGCCGGCAGCACCATTCAGTTATATAGTTTCTTTATCCAAGGCCTCCATATCCTTCCTTAGTGACTCCAGGAGTTAGGAAAACTCTTTAAGTTTTCCTAACTTAAGTTAGGGAAAGGCTGAGAGTTTAGGGTCTCTGGCACTTCAGCAGATTGCAAGTTTGTCTTCCCCGCCTCCTCCCGCTCCCCCTTAAGCAACCAGTCCGTCACTGCCTCCAGCCCACTATGGGTACCAGTCAAGTTTTTTCATTGGTTTGGTTTGGTTTTGCATATTTGCTTACCTTCTATACTCAGCCTTCCTGTTGATAGGAATCATGAAATCAGTCTCCTGACAAACATATGCCTTTTAATGACTTAGCATTTATTTTATGCTTTTAAAACATTTCCACATATAATATCCTTTGAGCCTACAAATTACACTGACTGGTGGGTATATCAAGTAATCTCTCATTTTCCAGGAGAGGAAGCGAAGCCTCGGTACAATTGTGACTGTGCTGTTCCACACACTCCTTTTCATGGCCCGTGGCCCCTTTGCAGTGAATGTGTCTTTGTCTTTGGGACAGTTCCCAGATCAATGAAGCATTTCAATAGAGAGTTAGTATAAGGATTAGGGAAATATAGAAATGGATTTGAACTTGTAAGGCCTAGGTTCCAGCCACTTAGTAGGTAAGTAATTTTGGTCACATCACATAAACTGTGTTCTCTTCCTCAAAATTTGCAATATTAAAACCTAACTCATGGAGCGGCTTGTGAGGTTCAGTTGAAGTCATGAACTTGAAGTTGTTTTGTAAACTTTAAATTAGTATAAAGACAGGAAATGCTGTAACAATTTTATTCCAAAATCCTTATTTCCAGTAGGGCAGTCCTAGTTATCATACAGTCTTAGTGGTATTTTTCTCCTACAGAAATTAAACTTGCTCTAAATTAAATCATTGACCTTCGTACAACTGAGAGCCATTAGACTTTCCTGATATAATGATTGTTAAACTGTGGATGAAGGGGCACTGGATAATTGAGTTTATTTGTTTCTTAAGTAGCATTTCTTTTTCCAAAACATCATAAGACTTTTTTTTTTTTAAATAGAAAATCTGGCGTAACAAGAATCACAGCCATGAGCATTTGTGTGCCCACAAGGCTGCCAAATGAGGCCTAACTCAAGTGAATCTCAGAAGTATTTTATTGATGCTCATATGCTGTGTGTTCACTTATTTTGCCCTCTAGTTACATTAGGGAATAGATAAGCCAGAGGTGGTACCAAAGTTTTAAAATATAGTAAAAAAGATTAAGGAGTTTTCTCTGAGAATTGGTGGAAAAATTTAATCATTTAGTTTTTAAACTTGTGATAAAATATACATAACACAAAATTTACCACTTTAAAGTGGACAGTTCAGTGGCATTATATACATTGACATTGTTTTGCTACCATCACCACCATCCATCCACAGAATGTTTTTTTCATCTTGCAAAACTGAAGCTCTGTACTTATTAAACAATAACTCTATTTCTCCCTCCAGCCCCTAGCAACCATCATTCTATGTTATGTCTCTATGAATGTGACAGTTCTAGGTACCTCGTATAAGTGGAATCATACAGCATTTGTCTTTGTGTGACTGGTTTATTTCATTTAACATAATATTCTCAAGGTCCATCTATATTGTAGGATGTCAGAATTTCCTATCTTTTTAAGGTGGAGTAATATACCATTATATGTATATACTACATTTTGTTTATCTGTTCATCTGTTGGTGGACACTTGGGTTGCTTCCAACTTTTGGCTATTGTGAACCATGCTTCATGAAACGGGTGTGCAGATATCTCTTCAAGACCCATATACCCAGAAATGAAATTGCTGGATCCTATGGTTATTATTTAGAGAAACTGTGATACTGTGTTCCATAGGGACTACACTTTTTCACATGTCTACCAGCAGTGCACAAGAGTTTGAAGAGAAGATTTTTACAGCAGTTCTTTAATGCTGACCTCTCAACACCAGTGTTCCACAGGACTAAGTAGGAATGCATTAGTTGTTCCATAAGTGCCTCTTCCTAGAATTAAAAACTTTTTAAAAATGCCTCTTAATTGATGGCACTCCAGCATCTCTTGAAAGGTAGGCAAGAGGAGCCGTGGGGTTTTTTGTTTGTTTGCTGTCAAGATAAGCATTCTGCTCAGAGCTATTTGCCTGGCGTTTTCCTAACTTCCAGCCTCTGTCTTACGATATTGAAAGGCCAAGGTTGGTCATAGTATGTGTCTTTACGCTGTAAAGTTTATCTTCCTGCAAATTTAATTCTCTAGAATAAACCTGGAATAGGGCATGATGGTTAGCTTTTGCTTCTCACTTGCAGCTGTTACAGAGTCTGGCTTCTCAGAGATAGGAACTATTTAGAATAACTAGATGTTAAAAACAGCATCTCTCATCACAAGACTTCAGGGTTTATCCCCCAAGTTAGGCAAGATGTAAGTTTC